AGCACCATGCTCTACTAAGAGAGTTAACCAGCCAGCCCCTCATTCCTTTTTATGGCTAAGTAGTATATAAAGCTGTTATAAACTTTCGTACACAGATTTTTGTGTGAACGTAAGTTTTCATTTCTCTGGATTAAATACTCAGGACTGCAGAGTGATTGTACATGAATGTTTATAGCAGTTCTATTTGTAATAGTCAAAAACTGGAAACAACCGATATGTCCTTCAATGTATGAATGGTTAAATAAACTGTAGTACATCCATACCATGAAATAACTAAATGCAATAAAATGGAATGAATTATTGATAAACACAAGAATTATACTGAATAAAAAAATAAAAAATTCAATTTTGCAAGGTTACATACCTGATGATTCTATTTATATAATATTCTTGCAATAAAAAAAGTATAGAGTTGGAATCGATTAGTGAATTAACAACTGGGGGTGGAAGGGAGAAGGGTGGAGATGTGGCCCTAAAGAAGTAGTACAAGTGACCATTGTGGTTTTGTATCTTAAACATGGTGTAGGTTACATTAAACTATATAGGTGATAAACCAGCATAGAACTACATACACACATGAGCACATACCCGCACTCACACACACCCCTGGTCAAATCTGAATAAGCTCTTTGTATTGTATCAATGTCAATTTCCTGGTTCTGATGGTTATGTAAGATGTTGTCACTAGGGGAGCGTGGGTAAAGGGTATATGGGACCTTCCTGCACAGTTTTTTGCAACTTCCTGTGAATCTTCAGTTATTTCAAAATAAAAAGTAAAACAAAACAAACCAACATTACACCAGGTGGAACAATCGAGAGAAATCTGTTCATGTGCTTCTCCTTGCATATTTCTTCCAAAGCATTTGTTGGTGTAAAACAGATTTTAGGAAGACATTTAATAAGGTCTTCATTGGTATTGTGTTGTATGCAATAAGGCAATAAGTTAGAATACACAAAAGGTATGAATTTGTGTCACACCAGAAGGAGGTTCCTAGTGGTACAATGCAGGGCTCTTTCAGCTTTTTGTTGTTCTTTTTTTCATTGTAATGCATACATATCAGATTTCTGGTTGACTGGAAACTCAGAGATACAGTGAATACAAACGACTACAGAATTGGAACCATGAAGGATCATGACAGGCCAAAAAAATTTGGACTAAATCTAACAAAATAAATGTTATAGGGATATACTAGAGGCTGTACTTGGGTCCACCAACACGTATAAACAAGATAGTAGGGATAAACCTAAATGAAGCCACCATACACTGTGACTGCCTGCCCTGTAGCACCCCTAACCCCTAATCCTACCCTAAAGTAATGTAGTATCAGGCCACATAAATAGAAATATACCATTTAGAATGAGAACAGTTGTAATTCCACTCTATGCTAAAAAGAACACATCTTGGGAATCATATTTTATTTTGGATCCCAGAGACGTACTAGAATACATTTATAAAAAAAGCAACTAGAAGTTCGAGGGCACTGAAAACCATAAATCATTATCATAAGGAAGATTATTTTTCATTGTGGCAAAAAATACATAAAATAAAATTTACCATCTTAACCATTTTTAAACTTATAGTTCAGTAATATTAAGTACATTCATATTGTTGTGAAATTGATCTCCAGAAGATATTCATCTTGCAAATATGAAACTCTATATCTATTAAACTCCCTTCTTCTCCCACAGAGATTTTCGAAGCGCTAACATAAAGCCAGAAAAAAAAAAGACTGAGTTAAAGATTTATCTTCAAATATATGAAAGCTTGCCGTGTAGAAAAATTATGCGATGAAGATCATGGGGACATTTCAGTTCAAAAGAAGAAAGAATTTTTTTTTTGTCTTTTTTTGTGTCCGGCAACGGATCGCAACCCTCAGTGTTGCGCCCATACTGGACCGGACCAGCAACGGGATCGCAACCCTCGGTGCTGCGCCCACACCTCGCTCAGCCAGTGAGCGGGAACCGGTCTGTATGTGGGATCCGAACCCTCGGTGGGAGCGCCGCTGCGCTCCCAAGCGGCGCACTGTAGCAGTGAGCCACCGGGCCGGCCCAAGAAGAAAGAATTTTTTAAAAAAGAGTTGTTCACATATGGGTAGAGCTGCCTCAGAAAAAGTAGTACATAATTCCCTGTTCAAGAACAGAAGGTATCTTGTAGAACACTGCTTCTTAACCCACAGAACACAGACCAAAGAGTCTGTGAATACGGAAAGGAAAAATAGTCCTTTTCTCACAAGCTCTCCTGAAATTTGGTATTTCTTTCCATTTATGAATATTGGTAACAAACCACAGCAATAATAGCAGTACTTATGACTCTGACACCAATAGAAATTGGACATTTTTATCTCACATTACACCAGTTGCAGGTACCTTAATTAGTCATTTGTGATCATCGCTGTTCCAAAATTATGACAGTTCTTTGACCCAATGGTACACATCCTTTTATTTAATGTACAATAAACACATAGTTTACTGTATCAAAGATATTTTAATTGTTTGTTAATTGTATTTCAATGTAAGTGGCTACTTTTGAGTATTCACGCTACCTGTTGAGTTGGATGCTTACCAAGAGTCAGGTGCATCAGCTATTCTAAAACTGTTTGTTATTTGTATTTTTTATAAAACTATACAATTTGATAAAAAATGAAACATAAATGTGAAATAAAAAGTTGTTTTTATAAAAATTAGGGGGATGGCCGGTTAGCTTGGTTGGTCAGAACTTAGTGTTATAACGCCAAGGTCAAGAGAGTTCGATCTTCGTACTGGCCAGCCACATTGGAAAAAAAAAATTAGATTGACTACTTCTCAAAGAGTCAAAATTAAGTCACTGGAAACAACTGTTGCTAAAGTAATTGTGGCAAGACAACTGTAAGTGATTAATGGTAAAAGTATAAACACCTAGAAGGATTTTCTCAGAATACTTTGAGTATCTTTAAGTTCTCTTTCTACTTAAGAGAAACTTCAACTAGAAATCTTAGAGCATACATTATAGATGTGCTCTATACAAAGAAGGTCATACAACTCCCCCATCAGCAGACCTATGCTAAAACAAAAAACAAAACAAAAAAAAAAACCCTGGCCCTACATCAAAAGATTGGCAACTAAACGTGTTATTAAATATTTTAAGGTAAAATAAAATGATAAGCCATGTATCCTTTTTTATGAATCTATGCTATAGCTGACTTTTTCAATCATTGATCAACTCCTGGTCTGACAGACTTAAATAAGAAAATTTCTACCATATTAATGTCAGAATCAGGCAAACATATACTAGATATATGTTAAAATTCTTTTGAAAAGATAGATGCAAGGCTTTGCCTCAAACAGTACTTAGTCTTTTTTTTTTTCTTTCTCTTTTTGGCGGCTGGCTAGTAAGGGGATCTGAACCATACATACCTAGTCTTGAAAGAAAATATTGGAATTCACTAATAAACATAAAGTTTCCAATAAATTTGAGGACAATTTATTACAGTTTTATTTTCCTCTACATTCAATTTTTTTTGTACTTAAGTTTTCTGCTTTTCATTAAGGTACATGCTCTTGTGGTAAGAGTGAGGAATCTTTTAGTATTTTGGTTCAAAATATTCCCTGTCCTATACAACAAGCCTCATTTCAGTGCTTTTCAAACTCTTCTCCTGACGTATCAACAGAAAGTGAACTCATACTCCTATACCCAGGGAGATCTGGGGATACAGTCCAAGAGCTACAAACTAAAACTTTAAGTCTCGTGTATAATTTTTCAAATGTATGAAAATTTGGCATTATAAACTATATTTACTTATATTTAATATTAGAAAACCTTTCATTTCCCTCTAAATCATCAAGTAAAAACTTGATGGGCCCCATTTATTCTGTGGCTTCACAGACCCCTCTTTATAACACTTTGCGCCCTTGAAAAAGAAGACTGGACTCAATCAGTTTAACACAATTTCTTTTTTTTTTTTTTTCCTTTTTGTCTTTTTTCGTGACCAGCAACGGATCGCAACCCTCAGTGTCGCACCCGTACCGGACCGGGACTGGCAACGGGATCGCAACCCTCAGTGTTGCGCCCACACCTTGCTCAGCCAGTGAGCATCCGGTCTGTATGTGGGATCCGAACCCTCGGCGGGAGCGCCGCCACACTCCCAAGCAGCGCGCTGTAGCAGTGCGCCACCGGGCCAGCCCTTTTTTGTCCTTTTTGAGACCGGCCGCACCACGCTCAGCCAGTGAGCACTGTGAGCGCACCGGTCATCCCTATATAGGATCTGAACCCGTGATGGGAGCGCTGCTGCACTCTCCCGAGTGCGCCACGGGCTCGGCCCAGTTTAACACAATTTCAATTTCAACTTGTACTGAGTGAACAGAGAAGTTAAATTTCAATTTCCTAGAGAAGTGTTTTAAAGGATTGGGCAATATCATGCATGAAACAAGAGCAAAAGGGAAATCTAACAAGTATCCAAGGAAAGGAGGCAAGAGGCATGGGGACAAAAATTAACTCTTGCACTGATCCAGCTGTCCACTCCTACTTATGTCACATCCAGTGACCATCAAATTTTAAGATGGGCTGAGGATTGCCATTATTCCTTATGGATGGGGCCTAGGTCTTGTTCCATATTGTTCAATATCACTCTAGCACTTACCACAGTGCCTGGCACACAGTAGGTGCTCAAAGAATTATAATAATAATAGCAGGTAACACTTACTGAGTATCTAGGATATGCTACACACTGTCTGAAACACTTGACATATATTAACTCATTCCATTCTCATAGCAACCCAATGCAGAATCCCTTAACATCCCATTTTACAGAAGAGGAAAATGAAGCCCAAAGATTTTAAGTTAACGTGCCCAAAGTCACACAGCCAAAATGTAGTAGAGCTGGGATTCAAACTCAGTTTAGCTCCAGGGCCTGAGCTCTTAACTATGGTCTTGTAAATGCTTCTTCAATGAATGAATGAGTAAATAAATGATTTGTAACAAATAAAAAGCAAATATTTTAAGCCAGAAGACTTTGGCTCCTTACAGTGCAGTTTGTTGCTTCGGCTGTTGAGTGGTTCCGGTCCATTTACATCTTTGCTCTTTTCATTATCCTCAATAGGTCGAAAATGAGCCAAAGTTCTCATGAATCCACGGAAGTTTACCTGGTCCTCTCTGATTGGAAAATATAACAGAACACCATGTCAATCAGAGTGATTATTTCTTTTTTTTTTTTTTTCCTTTTTGTCTTTTTTCGTGACCGGCAATGGATCGCAACCCTCAGTGTCGCGCCCGTACCAGACCGGGACCGGCAACGGGATCGCAACCCTCGGTGTCGCGCCCGCACCTCACTCAGCCAGTGAGCAGCCAGTCTGTATGTGGGATCCAAACCCTCGGCGGGAGCGCCGCCGTGCTCTCAAGCGGCGCACTGTAGCAGTGCGCCACTGGGCCGGCCCCCCAGAGTGATTATTTCTTATAAATTCAATATGCTGCAACAGTTTTAGCTACAGTAGCCTGAAGCTCCATTTAATGAGGTCTCTTTCCATATGCATGGTAATGTGGAATAAGACTTGAGTCATATGCCAGACAAACAGGTTTAATGAGTACATATATTACTAGCATAATGTCTCTGGGTAAAAAGGAACTAAATACCAATGGTCCACTTTAAAATCTCATTCTTTAAAAACAAACAAAACAAAAAAATGCTACCTGCATAAGACTAGAAAAGAAATAAAAACCCAAATTCCAAATATCTCTATCTGATTAGAGCAAGAAGCAGAGGTACAGCTTGCTAAGAGCTTCGCAGTATAGCCCAGTATAGTCCGCTGCTTCCTCATATGCACCCTGTATAGTTTCCTTATCAGTAAATTGGTGAACAGGATGGCAGGTGATACTACAGTCAGAGCAAATGTGGTTTAGCCTTACAAAACAGTTTTCCCCAAGCTGCTGTTTCAAGTAGTCAATGGCGACCTAGGAATTCTGAAAAGAAAGTGGGCAAAATTACTCTACTGGGTTTACTTTTTATTGCAAAAGTTTTGGATACAAAACATAGCTGTGAAAGTTTTCTCTGGACAGGGTTCAACAGTCTGCAGGGGCTAAAAGTGGAAGCAGAAAAGTGGAAGAATTCAGCACAAAAACCACACCTGAAACAAACAAGGCAGTTCAGGGAGAGAGAAAGGAGAAAATTGAAGGAGGGTATGAGAGTACTCATAGCAACATGGATCTGAAAAGAGCAGATCTCAGTCTAATATGGTTCCTGTCTTAACACAAACTGACTGCCAGTCTTCCTCCTCTGACTGTCACTCATATTTACCAAGTGCCCAAACCTCTCAACTAGCAAATTCCTTTGTCCTCAATTCAGAGTTCTAAAACTTCCTCTCCAGGTTTTTTATCTGATAGTCTCATTATTATGAACTGGCATCCATATAACATTTTAAAGTCTTTTGGGTCATGTAGCCAATTCACATGGAACCAGGAAGAGATTGTTTAGGAGATTACTTAAAACAAGACTATATGATAAACTTTTCTCACAAAAAAGGTACCTAATCAAATCAATAAATACTTACTCAGTACATATTTACTCTGAAGGCAGTGTATTAGGTAGCAAAGCATATCAAAAGTCTAGTTTTATGTTAGAGAAACCCAAATTAAGAAAGAGTCTACTTGAAAAAGTGTGTATGTGGTGAGGGGAACTGTATCCTTAGTCAATATCATAAAAGTAAAATAAAGGCTGTGGAAAGCTTCCAAATTAAAGGAGGCTAAAGAGACATGACAACTAACCCAGATTAGATCTTGTATTAGAAGAAGGAAAACTGTTATAAAGGAGAGTACTGGACAAACTGACAAAGTTAGACTATGCAGTGAAATGCTACCCCATAACCCAAAGTTGGAATATGAATAAGAGATTAGGATAAATAGATAATAGATTAAAAAAACAGAGTAACAGATTAGATAAAAGTATTACATCAATGTTAAGTTTACTAGGGCTGGCCAGTTAGCTCAGTAGGTTAGAATGTAGTGTTATAACATCAAGGTCAAGGGTTTGGATCCCTATGCTAGCCGGGAAAAAAAAAAAAGTTAAGTGGATAACTGTACTATAAATATGTAAAAGAATATCCCTATTCTTACCAAATACACACTGAAGCATTCAGAGGTAAAGGGCTATGACTATGCAATTTATCCACAAATGGTTCAGAAATACAATTACGTGAACATGCACGGAACAATTATGTATATATATGTGTGCGTGTACAAGGGTACTTCATAAAGTTCGTGGAAAAATAGAATTGAAGCATAGTACAAATCCTCCCATAAACTTTTTGAAGTACCTTCATGTGTATATACATATATATATACATACCCGTATACATATGTGTATGTGTTCATGTATATATAGAGAGAGGAGGGGAGAGAGTGTGTGTATGTGTGTATAGAGGGGAGAGGAGGCAGGGAGGGAGAGAGAGAAAGAGAGTGTGTATAAAAGAGTCTGTGGAGACAGAGAGAGAGAGAAGGGTGAAGAGCAGTACTGCGGCCACTAGTCACATGTAGCTATGAGCACTTGAAACACGGTTAGTGTGACTTGATATATGCTTTAACTGTAAATAACATGCTGGATTTCAAAGACTTAATATGAAAAAAGAGTGTAAAATATCTCAGTAATTTTTAATATAAATTATATATTGAAATAATATTTTGGATATATTGGATTAAATAAAATATATATTTGCCAAAGTTAATTTTAATTTACTTATTTTTACTTTTTTTGCTACTAGATAATGAATAATTACATGTGTGGCTTGCATTATATTTTTATTGACTATTAGAGAGAGAGAGAGCACACAAGTGAGGCAAAGTGTGAACAATGTAACAACAGATGCATCTACGTAGACGATGTACTATTTTTAACTTTTCCAACTTTTCTGTAAATTTGAAATTATTTCCAAATAAAAGTAGCTTTTTTTGTTTTTTGGCCAGTACTGGGATCCAAACTCTTGACCTTGGTGTTACAAGGCAGCGCTCTAACCAACTGAGCTAACTAGCCAGCCCCCAAATAAAAGTTTTTTAAAAGTCTAGTTTTACATCAACGGTAAATAGAGATTTTTTTTTTTTTTTTTTGTCTTTTTCCGTGTCCGGCAACGGATCGCAACCCTCAGTGTCGCCCCCGCACTGGACCGGGACCGGCAACGGGACCGCAACCCTCAGCGTTGCCCCCGCGCCTCGCTCAGCCAGTGAGCGGGAACCGGTCTGTATGTGGGATCCGAACCCTCGGGCGGGAGCGCCACCGCGCTTCCCAAGTGGCGCACTATCCAGTGCGCCACCGGGCCGGCCCTAAATAGAGATTTAAAGACAGAATTTTGAAGATTGGCTCCATCTATTGGAAATTTAAAACAGGGAGAAGGGTAAAAAAGAGGAGATATTCTAGATATGACAAAATTAGGGATGCCCAAAATAATTAGAGAGGATAACGGTCTGAGATGACCCAACTAATATCATTATTCCATACTAGCAATTAATTTAGGCTGATTCAGCCTCAGGAAGGAAGTCCAACAACTGGACTGACTCACCCCTCTGGAAAAAAGGCATTGATGATCCGATCCCCTAATGGGTTGATGGCAAGTTCTGGAATCCTCTGGAAATCTTCCCGGCTGCCAAGAGAATCACTTTGAGTTAGAGACCATTGGCCCTTAGCATGAACTCCTTCAGTCTGAAACAGAGTACAACCTAGCAAGAATATTACCTCCTGGAATTTACTTCCATGGCAAATCATACCAAATAACTGCAAAGAATAGCACTTTAATAGCTGCCAAGTGTTTCTTGCTCCAACTCAGGAGTGGAAGAAGCCAGATTTGACTATGCCACATTCCAGTGAATTCAGCACACAGGTTACATCAATTAACCAACTAACAAGCAAATACTAAGCTGTCCCTTAGTAAATGATTTCTTGAACATTACCATTTCGTACTTAGTTACTAAGTTTGGAGAGTGAACAGCAAATGGAAAGTACCAAACACCACAGAACTTGAATAAGGGGGTAAAAATTTAGAGGAGCCTCCATATCCTTGTTAAGACCTAAAGCACCTATGAAATGCGAGGAATTCTTAGGTGATATTTACATCAAAGGAAAGAATGTGACAACCAACTGATTTCCATACTTCCTTGCTCTGACTCTGGCTTTTTCTCCATTCCCTTCCACAGACTAGAGCTAGAGAAGTATTTAACCCTCAAACATGGCAAGAGCAGTCACCATCGCATAACCTGGATGTTATGTTGAAGTGATTATCATTAGTTACCATTCATTACATACACACCATGTGCTGCTCTAACTCTGTTTATATACATTATTTCATTTCTTCATGCCAATATTTTGTCTACATGGTTTTAAAGCCAAGGAAATTCAGTTAGAGAGATAAAGTAACTTGACCAGTGCCATACAACTACTAGTAGCAGGACTATGATTTGAACGTAAGTCTGTAAGTCAAAGTCTGTGTCCTTTTACCAAAAACAACATTTATTTCCCATATTAAACTTTTGGAAAGAAAGTTGCTCTCTCGGGCCGGCCCGTGGCTCACTCGGGAGAGTGTGGTGCTGATAACACCAAGGCCCCGGGTTCGTATCCCATATAGGGATGGCTGGTTAGCTCGCTGGCTGAGCATGGTGCTGACAACACCAAGTCAAGGGTTAAGATCCCCTTACCGGTCATCTTTAAAAAAAAAAAAAAAAGAAAGTTGCTCTCTCAAAAAATGTTCAATAAGTATTTACTTAAAAACTTCTTTGGTTCATATCTGTGCCAAGAATACAAAGCTGTACTCTTCAAAAATATCAATGCCATGAAGGACAAAGAATGGCACAGGACTGTTCAGCTCATAGAGGACTGCAGAGACATATGATTATATTCAATGCATGATCATGGACTAGGAAAAAAACTGCTATAGAGGATATTATTGGGTGATAGGTGAAAATGGAACATAAGACCATACAGAATCTGGAGTACTACATAATAGTACTCTATCAAAATGCTAAATTTCTTGATTTTGATCTGAGAATGTCCTTGTTATAGAAAATATACACTGAACGATGTGACAAAATGTTAACAATTGGTGAATCTGGGTATCAGGTATATAAAAGTTCTTTATACAATTCTTGTAATTTTTCTATAAGTTTCAAATTATTTCCAGGGCTGGCCAGTTAGCTCAGTTGGTTAGAGTGCAGTGTTGTAACACCAAGGTCAAGGGTTCAGATCTTCAAACCAGCTAACTTCCTCCCAAAAAACTTTTTTCCAGATAAAAAGTGAAAAAAAAAAAAAAAAAATATATATATATATATATATATATAAGTTTGAATAAATCTGATTCTTGCCTTCAAACAGTTTACTAACAGAAGAGATAAATACATTCCTCCACCCTCTTTGTACTAAATGCTAATGAAGACAGAAGATCATGAAATGCTCCTATTTTACCCTGGAGTCTTTATACTCTGCTCCTCTTGTTGTGGTTTAACATTTATATGGTCCTTAATTAATTCAACAAGCTCATCTCTACCACATCTGGTGACAGAGGTAGAGACTGACCTAGTGGACTGGACACAAAGCTCTGGAACAATAACTCTGGATTCTAACATTCCTTGATCATTTAGGGTAATAATTTTTATATAAATGAGTGAACCAGAAGAAGCCATTCATAAAATAACTGGTTTGCTTAATAAAACATAAAGAATACTACTGAGTCCTGATTATTTAATTCAACAAACACATAGCAAGCTTTTATTACATAATTTGTTCTATAATACATAGTCCACATTATCACCAAAATGTAGCTCCTCTTGTATGACAGATGTTAAGAAACAGTAACTACTCTTTTTTAAACAAAGACCGATTTGAATTGCATGGCCACATACCTCAGTTTAATGTCTAACAAGCTTAAGTAATTTTAGCTGAGAAAAGATAGTTTAAATACCAGGTCTAGTGTCAAGTAGTGAGTGAGTATACAACCTAGCCTGAATTCCTTTAGTCTTGATAAGGGAATTTAGACTTGGACTTATAACATCAATAAGGACCTAAACCCTGTCCTTTGATACTATTTAATTCTAGTTTTAGAATTTAGATTGCATGGGGCTGGCCCCGTGGCTCACTCGGGAGAGTGCGGCGCTAGTAGCACCGACGCCACGGGTTCGGATCCTATATAGGGATGGCCAGTTGCGATCCCTTTACCAGTCAAAAAAAAAAAAAAAGAGAGAGAGAATTTAGATTGCATGTAAAATGTGGTTCCATTCACCAGACCAAGGGGAATACTGTTGAAAGTATGAAAATTAACATGAAAGAGTATAAAAAAGTAGTTTGTCAACAGTTAAAACAATATGCAATTTATTATTATTAGCTGCTCTACAGTAGAACAGAGATCATCTGTGCAGTTTCTCTCAAACTTGCTTCTCAAATTTGTCCATCAGCACAAACCTAATAGAGAGAAATAAATACTCCAAAGTGGCCCACACACCACAAACCTAAGAATCATTTGAAATGTAGAGTTGTGTGTACTCATTAAAAAACATACCAACAAGGGCCGGCCCGTGGCTCACTCGGGAGAGTGCAGTGCTGATAACACCAAGGCCACGGGTTCGGATCCTACATAGGGATGACCGGTTTGCTCACTGGCTGAGCGTGGTGCTGACAACACCGAGCTAAGGGCTGAGATCCCCTTACCGGTCATCTTTTAAAAAAAACAAAAAACAAAAAAACATACCAACATTATATTCTGTCTCATAGTATACTTAGGAAAATCTTCCTTGAAGATTTTTTGAGAAAAAGACATTAATACTGGTCATAGGCAAATCTGAGAATGGAACCACGTATAATGGCATTCTTTGTGATCAAGAAATTCGTCATGAGGAGTGGTTTTTCAGAAATTCAAGGGCACAGGGATGCTCTGAAAAACCAGAGTTTGAGAGACTGTTAGTAACCAGAAGTGTCATCCCTCTACTCCGACTTCCTTTACTGTGCAATCCCTTCTCTTACTCAGATTCAGCCTCACAGGTAATTGCAAATATTTCAAACAGCCATAGTTTGATACTTTAGATGACTTATACATCATGAGGAGATTAAAATATGTTAATAGGACATACCCTTTGGAACACACATTCAATTATGAAAGCATAGTTTTTCATATTTAAGTAGTATAATGGAGGTTAATCATATGGTACAACATATTAACACTAAAATGACAATTTCCATTATCTGAAGCACTTAATCAATATTTTAAATTAAATTGATGAGAACTTCATTGTTTTGATAATAGAATTTTTTCATATAAAGTGCCAATAAATATCAAATCCAGTCTTTGCTAGTCTATTTTAACGTGCTAGGGCCAGGCTGGTTTATCTGCAAGGTTGCATGCTGATTTTTGGTTGAGGATGGTGGGTACATACACACTACCTCCTTTTTATTCTCTAAAACTCCCTGAAATGTCAGCAAAAGTATACACATGGGAATCTATCCACAACATAAACAATAAAGGTAGGAGAAGTGTACTAGCAGACAGTGGATTTTGACAAACTCTAGAGTTCACAAAGCAGATGTGAATGTAATGACAAGTAAGTTGGAATAGAAGGTCCACGAAAAAGCTCAGCAGAATTGAGAGCCATTCTGCCCTGCAGAATCTTACTGAAGCACCACACTCAGAGTTGCCAGTAAGGGAAGCAGTATTCAGAGTAAATAAAGGATCTTTTAAAGAATGAGCCAGCTGCCCACTGCTGCCAGTGCCCATCCCAAGAATACAAAACCATTTGTCCCAACAAAGAACTGTTATGAAAAGAAACTGAAAGATCTACTTGGGCAGGACTAACCAAGTGTGGGAGGTTAGCCCCCCAGTAACACTAATACGGACAAAAAAGTACCAGTAAAGATTCTAGTAAGTAATATAATAAACATTTTGATAAATTTTTGCATCTGTAAAATGAACATAAGCTATTATGATACAGAAGAACAAGAGTCAGAGAACAAGAAAGTTTCTTAAAATTATAAATATAATTGGAGGGCCGGCCCGTGGCTCACTTGGGAGAGTGTGGGGCTCATAACACCAAAGCCACGGGTTTGGATCCCATATAGGGATGGCTGATTGGCTCACTGGGTGAGCGTGGTGCTGACAACACCAAGTCAAGGGTTAAGATCCCCTCACTGGTCATCTTTTTTTTAAAAAAAAAAAAAAATATATATATATTTTTTTTTTTTTTTAAAAAAAAAAAAAAAAAAAAAAAAAAATATATATATATATATATAAATTGGAGACTAAAAGGTTCATTAAACAGACTCAAAAATAGGGCTGGTTGGTGAGCTCACTTGATTAGAGCCTGGTGCTGATAACACCAAGGTCAAGGGTTCAGATCCCCATGCCGGCCACCTGCCAAAAAAAAGGGACTAAAAAATAAACTCAAGGTAAGCTTCCCGAAAGTAAATGAAAAATCAAAAAGCTAGAAAAAAAAAAAGACAATACTTGAGTCACAGTAGTCCAATTGCCAACTGACAAAAATGCCATAAAGAACAAATAAAAAAGGAGAGGGGAGGAAATAACCAAAAAAAAAAAAAAAAAAAAAAAAAAAAAAAAAAAAAAAAGAACAAAGAAAAGAAGAAGAAACCTTCCCTGCTAATGGACCTATTTTTAATCAGAGAGGTTCACCTAATGCTTAGCAATGAATAATGAAAAATTGTACCACAAAAAGGCATAACTTGGTGAACTTTCAGAACATTAAGAGGAGATATATGAAGCTTTCAGAGAGGAAAAAAAAAAGATTACCTACAAAATGAATGAGAATTAGATTGGTATCATGCTTCTCATCTGTGAAACTCCATTCTGGAATAACTGATAACACTGGGTGCACAAAGCAAGAGCTTGTCCAAGATATTGAAATCAACTGTACTCAAACAAAAAAATGAACCTCAAAAGTACTTAGTATTTGAGCAGATAAATGGCAACAATTCAGGACACAATCTCCTAAAATTTATGGATAATCTTTTTTTTTTTCCCACTCTTTTTTTTTTTTCCCCCACTCTTTTTTTTTTTTTTTTTGCAGCTGGCGGGTATGGAGATCCGAGCCCTTATGTTATAACACTGTGCTCTAACCAACCGAGCTAACTGCCAGCCTTTGTTCTTTTTTTTTTGTCTTTTTAAAATTTGGGGGTTTCTTTTCCCTCTTCTAGATAATTTTTTTAAGTGACATATAATAATACAACCAACTAGAAATTTCCACTAAAAATTTCCTTACAGGGCTTAGCTGACTTCAGGATTTCTTAAAGGACTCAGCTGCCTTTTTAAAAAGACCAATTTCAATGGCAATGGTACAAATATCTCACCTAAAATAATAGCAACTGAAGAAAGTAAGATTTATAAGCGTATAGTATATATTTATATTCTATGAAATACCAATCTGAAGAGATGGTCCATGTAAAAGGGAGTCTAAAGGGAAACAGCAAGTCAATTTGGCAAATACTGTCTACAATATTCCCCTCTTGGAGATTCTCAATTCACCTGAGTATATTAAAGATGTGGTGAACTCCTGAAATAAAGAAAATTATTTAACCTTGTTTACCAAGCTGTTCACAAATTTTAGTCAATAACTTCTTTCTCTCTTTTTTTTTTTTTAACACAACCCTATCCGATAGATCAAGAAACTACTGTTCCATAAATTATACTTTGGAATGAATCTCTGAAAGCACTTTGAAGAAGCTCTATTCTAACCAAAGCCTTCCACAGGCTCTGCTTTACGCTCCCACTGGGACTGATTACAACAAAGGAATGCCACAGACAGTACACTCTAGCCTCTCTAACTCTGCAGAATTTGGCTTCAGGCCCCAGACACAAAGCACCTTGGAAGAGGAAAGTAAAAAATGCATAGAAGGAAAAATATTTCTCCTAATAACCACAATTGCCTTCTTAAGAAGGTGGAGCTCTGTTCCAAGTAACAAAAGATTAGAAGCCACTTGTATTCAGCTGAGCATCCTGATGTGTTCTGGAAAGGTCAAGACAAGCCTTGAATTAAGTTTTGCAATAAAGACTGGAGAGAGCTGAATCACTCTACTACAGAAGAATCTAAAGTTTGCCAGCTTATCTCTAGGACTGGAAGGGGTAGAGGAGGAGGTAGGGTGGGAGAAAGGGGAAGATAATCTAACCAGATGTCCGCAGACTAAGATGGCTACTGTCAGGAGGCACAGCCAGTATGAAACCCCTGATAGTGGGTGGGTCCAACAGAATGAGTTACATAAAATGTCCTAGTTGTTTACTATGTGGCACATTATATGGTACAATGGAACAATTTCTTCTTGTATTCAAGGTGTTTTGGTTGGCAAATTCACATAATTAGAATAATTTCTTCAACAAATGATGTTGGAAAACTGGATATCCACATGCAAAAAAAAATGAAGCTGGACTGTTACCTCATACTATACACAACAAATAACTCAAAATAAATGAAAGATCTAAATATAAGAGCTAAAACTATAAAGCTCTTAAGAAGAAAACACAGGGATAAGTCTTCAGGACCTCAGATTTGGCAATGGTTTCTTAGATATCACACAAAGCACAAGCACCAGAAGGAAATTTAAAGAAATTGGACTTCATCAAAACTAAAAACTTTGGGGCTTCACAGGATACTATATAAAGACAATCCACAGAATATGAGAAAATATTTACAAATCAAATAATTGATAAGGGTCTAGTATCCAGAATATATAAAGAACTCTTATAACAACAAAAAGACACACACAACAAATTTTAAAATGAATGAAGGATTTGAATAGGCATTTCTCCAAACAAGATATCCAAATGGCTAACAGGCACATGAAAAGATGCTCAACATCATTAGCCACTAGGGAAATGCAAATCAAAACCACAATCGTATACCACTTCACACTTACTAGAATGGCTAGAATCAAAAGACAGATAGTAAGTATTGGTGAGAATGTGGAGAAATTGGGCCCTCATACATTGCTGGTGGAAATGTAAAGTGGTACAGCCACTGTGGAAAACAGTTTGGTAGTTCCTTGATAAGTTAAGCACAGAATTACCATATAACCCACAATTCTACTCCTAGGTATACGCACAAGAGAAATCAACACATATGTCCACACAAATGTTCAAAGCAGCATTATTCATAATAGCCAAAAGACATGAACTCAAATGTCCATCAACTGATGAATAAATAAACAAAATGTGGTATATTATCCATAAAATGGAATATTATTCAGCCATAAAAAGGAATAGGGCTGGCTGGTTAGCTCATTTGGTTAGAGCACAGTGCTGATAACACCAAGGTCAAGGGTTCAGATCCCCATACTGGTCAGGCACCAAAAAATAAAATAAAACAAAATAAAATGAAATAAATAAATAAAAATAAAAAGGAATGAAGTATTGATATATGCCATAACATGGATGAACCTTGAAAACATCATGTCAAGTGAAAACTGGTCACAATAAGGCCACATACTATATGATTCCATTTATATGAAATGTCCAAAGAGAAACAGAAAGTAGGTTAGTAGTTGCCAGGAGTTCAGGGCAAGGGAGAATAGGAAGTGACTGCTTAATAGGTATGGGGTTTTCATTTGGGGTGACGAAAATGTTACAGAACTGGATAGTGATGGTTGCACAACATTGTGAATGTACCTAATGCCATTGAGTTATGATTTTAAAAAGAAGGAAAAAAAGCACCTAGCATGGTCTTTGCACATGATAGGCATCCATAGTCATTGACTTCAATGTTTGTGCAGCATGATTTTTTTTTTTTTTTAAAGATGACCAGTAAGGGGATCTTAACCCTTGACTTGGTGCTGTCAGCACCATGCTCTCCCAAGTGAACGAACTGGCCATCCCTATATAGAGATCCGAACCTGTGGCCTTGGTGTTATCAACACCACACTCTCCCAAGTGAGCCACAGGCCGGCCCTTGCAGCATGATTTTAATTGATCTCAGCTTCCAGTGATGGCAGATTTTTGCCTTGAACAAATACAGCCCTATGGATTTACTAGCATTCTCTAGCTCTTCTCCCTGAGAATTATGTCCAAAAGCTTATTAACTGTATTCCTTCCCCCTTTATGCCACATCCTACACCTTGCTAGAAGCCTTCCAAAGAAGTCCTAAACCACTTCACACCAGCCACCAAGAAGGCTAACAACTTCATTACATGCCAGTCAATCAAAACTAAAGAACAACAGTATAGCAAAGGTTGCTACAGAGAGTTAAGGTAGGAGGTGGTAATAAGGAGATTATTTCATTTGACTATGATAAGATAATTACAAACATGAAATGATACAGTATTATGTGATTCTGAGATCATATACTTACTCTAGACCAGGGTTTCTTAACTTCAGCAATTTTGACACTCAGAATAACTTTTTTTTTTTTTTTTTGACTGGTAAGGGATCGCAACCCTTGGCACAGTGTGTTCTGCACCACGCTCAGACAGTGAGTGCACCAGCCATCCCTATATAGGATCCGAATCTGTGGCCTCAGCACTACCAGCACCGCACTCTCCCGAGTGAGCCATGGGGCCGGCCCAGAATGACTTTTTGTCATGGGGGTTGTCCTGCACATTGTAGGATGTTTAGCAGCATTCCTGGCCTCTACTTACTAGATGCCAGAAACATTCTCCAGTCATGCTAATCAAAAATGTCTTCCTCCAGCCATTCTACCTCTGGGTGGCAAAATGAGAACCAGATGAAAACCACTGCTCTAAACTAAAATACTGAACATTTTGTCTAACATTAATATACATAAAGTGATGCACCCTGGGGTTTTCCCGGTTGGGTTGCAAGATAGAGGAGGACAAAACAGCCTAGACCACCTGGGACTGCTATGGGTCAACTTCATAAAAGCCAATGTTTGGGAAAAGGCTGTGAGAAAATGCAAGCACAGATTGAAATCTCAAAAGTACATTCCTAGGACCACAACGATAGCCACCTAAACTAAGGGTAGTTGGAATAAAGTACCTAATGATACATTTAAAGTCATTGTTCTGCTTATTTAATTCTCTTGTGGATCAGCAATGCTCAAAGACCAGTGAAAAAACGGTCCCTGCCCCCTGCATGCTGGATGCCTATCATGTCTGTCCTTGGGATAAAGGCAGCTATTCAGACACTGCCAGAGTTTCTGGTTTCTGTGGGGAAAATAAAGGAACTTCCTACCTGAGAGTCCCGTTCTCTCCTTTGTCCAGGCTGGTGAACCGGCTGTAGAGGCGAGTGATCTGACTGTGGGAAACTTAAGAACACAAAATTAGTCTCAACTGAGGAAACAGCCCTCCAGTTACACTGACCCTGCATCCCACCCTCAAATGAATAAGATGGGGAGATGCTGCAATTCTAAGTCAAAGCAGAAAGTTTAAATGCTAACAAATGAAAGGAGTTAGAAAATAAACTAAATCAAGAGCAATCAAAATTGACTCTTAGGAATGAAGTATAGGCTTAATTAAGACTGTGTTAAATGTCAGATGGTTAAGATTTAACAAAACACAGCCAAATTTAGTTTAAAAGAAACTTGTGAAACTTTCAAATTTTAATGCCTTGACTTAGAGGTTATGAAAATGCATGCTTTGATTACAAAGACATACCTATTAATCAATTTGGTGTCTCAGTCTGGCACTGCTAGGTAGGTAACTCATGCTGAATTAAAGACTGGGGCATATCAAACAGATTCTGTTTTTAAAATCTGGTCTACTCCTGCACCATTAGAGGTTTTATCTTTTCCCTCAGGACAGACCTTTGGGTAAAAGATCACCACAGCCTTGGATCAGCCTCTTTTGTGACAGCATGAGCTCTGCTGTGTTCCTAGGAAAGAAACTGGCTCCAAGGAAGCAAATTGGGCAATGTGTAAGATGGTCATGCTGTCATCAGCTAACATCTACCAGAAAGCTATTTTGCTCCTTATTTTGGATTAGCCCCATAAACTCTGGCACAAGTTGACAATTAAAATGAGATAACTGCAGGTACACAATAAAACTTTGAAAATGCAAAAAGCCATTTCTGGGAAACAGTTTAGTCTCCTGGCAGATTGGAGGTAAGAGGGAAATAAAAAAAAACCCGAGAGTTGTCACATGGGAAAAGACAACAGCCAAAAAGAGTGTGACAAGTGCAGACTTTGTCCTAGGCTGTACTTTTGGGGGTTTAAAGGGGTGGCTGAAGTAGTTCTGATCATGAAACAAAAATTTACTTGCAATGTTAGGAACAATGGAACAAAGTAAACAGGGGCAAGCAGGAGAAGGAGGAAGTGAGTGGCCCAGAGCTGGGACGAGAGGACACACTAGGTGTGGCTGTAGATTGTTCAGCATTAGGTTTTACCCTCAAAGTTGGGCTCTGTTCTGTACCAGGGCTCTAAGGTGAACAAAGAGCAGAAAAGAGGGCAGAATCACTCCCATCCAGGGCAGAGCCAGCAGGGGTCCTGCCACTAAGGAAGCAGTTGTGGACCATTTTGCCAGCCAGGCAGGTGTGACTAGCTCACTGTAAAGAGTACACACATGTGAAGGTCAGGTACACAGATTCTAATTCCATTCACAGCACCACCACTTACCAGTGAGGAATAAATAAATTGGGCTGTGGGGTGAACTACTGGAGTCAATGAAAGGAAAGTGCTTGGCAAAGTGCCTGGCACATGGGAAGCACTCCAGGTTACCTATTATCATTATCCTCCCTACATTGTAAGCCCGAAGGGACAGTTTTACTGCTCTACTAATTACTCTCCACTTTCCTCCTGACTCTACCAGTCACAACCGTTTCTTTAAGAATCTGACCAGTTTACCCTGGTTCTGGCCTTGGGCCTTAAAGGCTCTTGTACTAAAGTTCCCTTTAGTTTAGCAAAAGTCAGTCAGTTAAAGAATTACTAAATTTCCCAAAAGAGTTTTTGAAAAACAAAATTCATTCATAATGCCAACACTGCTGTTTTCATTTCTTTATACACCATCTAACATCAGTCGCTTGTATACTTTACATAGTTATAATAAAAATACAAAAAAAGAATATAAAGAAAAAAATTAAAAAAAACAAAAAACAAAAAAATACATAGTTATAATACCTCACTTTTCATTTAGTAATTCATAATTTTTATATATTGCTTTGGAATTCTTTTTAATAACAGCATATTAAGTCCACGGGATCAGTTTTTAGTGTTTAGAGTGTTATATATTTCAGATTACTTTTTAAAAGTAGGTAGAAAGTCAAATTCTACAAGAATACTTCAGAAAGTCTGTGTAAAGATTTGTATTTTAATTCTATTTTTCCACAAACTTTTTGAAGTACCCTTGTATTTCCTTTTACAGTAATTTTTTTTTTTGAGAAAATGATCCATGTAGGGGCCGGCCCGTGGCTCACTTGGTAGAGTGCGGTGCTGATAACACCAAGGCCCCGGGTTCGGATCCCATATAGGGATGGCCGGTTTGCTCACTGGCTGAGCGTGGTGCTGACAACACCAAGTCAAGGGTTAAGATCCCCTTACCGGTCATCTTTTAAAAAAAAAAAAGAAAATGATCTATGTACATGGTAAAAATGTAAATGGTACAAAAGAGCACATAATGAAAAGTCTCCCCAACACCCCAATTCCCTAGTCTCCCACAGTACCAGTTTCTTGTGAATCCTTCTAGAAATTCCCTATGCATATATATAAGTTGTATAAGCAATTTATACAATTTTACAGATTTAAATAACTTTAAGATTGAAACGAATGTTATTCTCTAGTCCTCCCCCTTCATTTAACAAAGTAGCCATTACACATCTTTCTAATCTAGATCATCATCTGAAAAACCTAGGCACTGAAACCTCTTATAGTAGGATTTTTTTTTTTTTTTTTTGTCTTTTTCCATGTCCGGCAACGGATTGCAACCCTCAGTGTCGCCCGGGACCGGCAACGGGATCGCAACCCTCGGTGTTGCCCCCGCGCCTCGCTCAGCCAGTGAGCGGGAACCGGTCTGTATGTGGAATCCGAACCCTCGGCAGGAGGGCAGCTGCGCTTCCCAAGCGGTGCACTAGCGGTGCACTAGCGCAGTGCGCCACCGGGCCAGCCCCTATAGTAGGATTTTTTAAACTCCCTTAGTAAGTACTGGTATGGCATTACACCCCATATTTCAGACAAAAAGATCAGTTTATGGCTGCTTGAATTCATAATTTACCAATATGTTAAAAATAAATATGTAAATAAGTAGGCAAAACAATCATAAAACTGTTATCTTCCAGGACAGACTAGGTTATAGTGAAATCAATGGAGAAATGTGAAACCAAATGTCAATTTTTAACATTACTCAATATGGTCATATCTGAACCTATCTCCCAAATGTCATAACTAATGTTATAATATCGTTACAAAGAGTTTTTTTTAACAAAAAGAAGAATGAGAGAAAGCTTTAATCTAGGTGCTAAATCCACTGTGACAAAGAATATAAAGCAACCTGTAAGGTATAGAGCTCAGAACAACCCCAATCCACTTATAAAGGAGCTACACAATCCACATGCAGAAAAGTATGGAACTACCACGAATGAAGGCAGGACATGTTTCCAGTACACTATTTTCATGAAAGGCACTAAGTTAGCCACACAGGTGCCCCAAACCTGTACCATTCGTGTCAACCCAAAGGAAGTCTCAGGAGTTGACAGTTACTCTCAGAAAAGGCTGTGCATTTGGACATGTTTTCAACAAAATTATATTTTTTCTCCTCTGGTGGGCAAATAATTATTTTAAATTGTTGAAAGCTTATTTAAAAGACCCTACTAACCTTCCTGACTACAAACCTTTGTAACTATCACCACTGCATAGTGCTCAGAGGAGGAAGGTGTTTCAGAAAGTACCAAAGCACCAAGCAGGAATGGCAGAGAGAAGAATAAAACCAAAAAGGGAGTAAGAAAAAAGTTATTTTGCCCTTGCCTTTATCTTAATGCAGAAGAACAGATAACCTAGGTAAAGCATACATATGCAGCCAAAAGTAGCTCTACATAAAAGATTGCAAAATTGAAGCCTGTACCCCTAACCATTCCTCCTAAATACTCTATACTCCCAACATTTTCCCTCACATGAGGACTTCAAAATCTGACCCACTCTCTTAGGGATTAAAAGAGACTTAAAAGACATTATATGAAATAAATAAAACCTACCTTCTTATAATTGGGAAAATTTGAATATGGTCTGAATGGTAGATAAAATTATTGTTAACTTTCTTAGGTGTGGTAATAGTGCTGTGGTTATACAGGAAAAATCCTAATTCTCAGGAGACACATGCAAAAGTATTTAGGGGTGAAGAGTTCCATACCTGCCACCTTCTAATGGTTCATCAAAAAATATATATAAATGGATAAAGTAAACACAATAAAATGTTAACAACTTTTGGATTAAGGTGGAATGTGTGAGGATTCACTTTTAACTTTTCTGTATATTTGAAAGTTTTCATCATAAAAAACTGGGGGGAGAAATCCATACTCTTGAATCTGATAAATCCAGTTCACAATAAGTTTGCCTTCTCAGTACAACCTAAGTTATCCATTCCTTATTTCCCATAATAGTGTTTGATGTGTGTAATGCTTTTATCCCTATTTTGTGATATAATATTTCATACTTTTTCTCTCCCCTTAAAAGCAGAGAACTTAACATACATCTGTAGCTGCTCCTGGGGTCAATTATCTTGTAAATGAGTAAACCTCTGAATACTCTATGCTCTGGAACACTTCCCCTACCAAAAAAATGTTCACAGGATCTCATTTCCTAAGAGCCCTGTTCTCTAATATGACAAGTGGTTGCTTCCTAACCTTTTCTGACAACAAATAAGAATAAAACTTTGAACTAGAACTAGAAATTATAGAGCTTTACAAATTACTTAACTACCACGTTTAGTTAGTTTGGGGTTATCTGTGTACTTCCATTTCAATAGAAGGCAGAAGACAGATCAAGGTTTTCTGTAGTGACAGAACCTTCAGGCACTATGGCATGGCAGGTGAGGGCTATGAAGGGGTCCTACATGCGGAGGCAGTAGCAGCCTCAAGTCGAACTTCCACTTACATTCTAGCTCTGGAAATTGTTTTCAAGCAATTGCCTTTGCCCAACTTGTGCTCTTTGTTGGAACTATAAAGAAACCACACTAGCTCTATCATCACTACACCCTTTCAAACAAACAAAGCCTTACCAGCCTGTACAACTTACTTCCTAAACCTGTTCAATACTCTCCCATACCACATGACACACACCAGAAGGCAGAGACCAAAAATAAATCAATCTGCATGTATTACTGCTCAGCTGGCCCTGAATTGTTTCTTACAGATAAGGTTTTAAGTAATTCATAGCCAGGTTATTGCTAATAAGGGGAAACTAAGGGTGGAGATTATAGAAACTCCCAAGACATTTGTGACTTTCTCCCAATTACGTCTTTTACTCAAATGAGCTTTAATTTATGGAAATACAGAAGTAGAACAAAGACAATACAGCAAATGTTTTATGGCAAACACAAACTGTTTCTTAGACAATGTTTCTTAAACTGTTAGAAACATCAGGATTTCTACTCCTTTAGATGTTTATTTCCTTAGAATTGGCAAAACAACATCTGTACTTGATTCCTAATCCAATGCCCACTGAAAATAGGAAAAATATAAAATGCCGTCACCTTCCCAGTTATATAGTCCTACGCCCAGTTTTTAACAACTAGCAGATGGAATTTTCCCAATAAAATGATTGTTATCTATGATTCAAAATAATAGCTAACACTTACATGGCACTTATTATACCAGACGCTATTCTAAGTAGTTTACATAATTTATCTTACTTAATCTTCACAAGAATCCTACAATATAGGTACTATTGTTATTCTAATTTTACAGATGATGAAACTAAGGCTCACAGATAATTCTTTTTTTTTTCCCTCAGTCAAGTCATCACAAGTAATTCTTACCTAGAATTACTTTTCCAAACACTTAGTGGTTGAATTTCAAATACAGGCTAAACTAGTCATATATATAATCTGTAATCAATTTAAATTTACAAAAAATATGCTTAAATATACAATAATCATCAATTCTAGTGCTAAGCTTTCATATTGAATATAAAGTTAGTTTTCCTCAATCATGCTATATTTTCTCACTGGCTAAGGGAGTAGCAAAATGTCTTATAATAGTTCTTAAAGTGTTTCTTACTGATAATTTCCCAAATTCTTCCTCATGGAACAAGACGTAGATGAAAATAGGGCAAATCCCACCTCTCTACCCCGCCCTCCATGTATCTGTTCTTATTCTTCAAAATCTTCCACACTGTACTAAAATTACTACTTTAAAAAACAACCCTGCCGATGGGCACTAACTGGATAAACTGATGGTTCAACTCCCAGAGCAGAAGGATGACTTTGTAGCAGTCTGGATTGCTCCTGGAAGCCACCCAAAATGCCCTTGGTTAATTGATACAAATCTAATCCCTTCATGCATGCATCAAAGCCCAATTCCTGTCCTCTACAAGGCCAGCCCACAAGGACTCTCTTCCCTGAGCTCTGAAGGTGGGTGCCACACAATTTCAGCTTCCTTATTTCATAATGCTAATCACAACTCTCTTGGGCCTATCTCCCAACCAGGTTGTGGGTGTCTTTTGTCACAATCTGCTCTGAGTACCAAGCACAATACTGAACAAGCACTGCAAAATTACAGTAAGTATTTGTCTCACTGGGCTTTCAGGCTCAATACATACTTTTGCACTGGTTGCGGTTGAGAAGCTCCCTCGTGCTTGATTCACTCTTTGGAGAGAGGGAAAACAGCTCTTCCTTGAGTTCTTAGTTCTGTGTGTCCACAAGTTACATGGTAAAATAACCCAAGTCCTATAGCAACCCAAGGCCCTTTTCATTTGATCAAATGTAAATAAACCAGGATGGGATTACAGCTTCCTTCATTTTGAGGCAAAAATAGCTTTTCCCATACTCACTTTGGCTTACACTTCCTCATTATGACTCTTTTTTTTGGCGGCTGGCCTGTACGGGGATCTGAGCCCTTGACCTCGGTGTTATAACACCATGCTCTAACCACTTCAGTGACTCTTTATTTTAAGCAGGAATGTTTTAATTTGGGTGTCACCCTAGACCTGAAGTAGTTATTATATTTACAAGTGTGGACAGAGGTAACGGCCACAAAATATAATAAAATGCTTGCTGAATCCAAACTGCCTATATTTCTACTACTGCAATCAGAGTAAGCCATAAAATGACTATACAGTCAAGAGGTCAAACAAGTACTGCAAATTATAAATAGCGAACTATTTTCTGTCATTCATTCAAAATCGTGAAAAGGACTGCTTTGGTAGGTGGTGAGGCCATCATCGTTAAAGGTCTTTATGGAGAGGCTTATGGGCTATATGCTGAAAGAAGAAAACCAATCTGACAAGGGGTGCGATTAGATAACATCTCTTCCAGGGGCCGGCCTGTGGCTCACTCGGGAGAGTGCGGTGCTGATAACACCAAGGCCACGGNCTCCTATAAATAAAAATAACTTTATATACGTATATCAAGTAATTGTTCTTATTTTTCTTTCTGTTTGCTTGCTTTTGATTTTTAATAACGGTTTAGTGCCCTGATTGATAATTAGATAAAGGAAGGAAATTTCAAGTAGAGCAGGAGATAGCATAACATGATTTAAAAAGGCTTTAGAGTCCACTTTGGGTTCAGATCCCAAGATCTCGATTATTAGCCGTGTAACCCACAGAGCAGATTATTTAACCTCTCAAGAAAATTTCATATTTCAAAGATTCTAAAGTGCCTTTTTTTCCCCCTCACATTTTAAAGTATCTTAAATTAAATGGCATTTTGTAATTGGTGTTAATTGTGTCATTTTTTATGTAGATGTCTGTGCCTTCGCTCCTGAGGACTTTGTAAACTATTTTGTTCATGTTGTTGTTACTTTAATGTCAGAATGAGTTTAAAAGAGCTTTTTTGGTAAGAATAAAATAAAAATTCTAAGAATGAAAACAAACCAAAAAAACCCTAAAACTTAAGAATCCTTTCTTACCTCTTAAATCCTGTATCATAATTTAGTTTTCAGCATTTCTTCCCTTTTTTTGGTCATATATAATTATGGTGTTTCCTGTAATCAGTGGATCTGATCTTATCAGATATGATAAGATACAGTATTTAAAGAAATATAAAGTTATTTTGAGGATTAAGGATAATATATGTAAATTTCCAAGACAGGGCCAGGCACATATGAAGTTCTCAAGAAATGAAAAGTGTTGTTATTACCGATAATATTGTCACATTTTCTGGTGAGAAGAGGGATTAGTTTTGTCACAGAGGCTTTACTTTGAAATTTTTGGATTTGGGGCTAATTTCAGATTCAAATTCACATTAGCATGGTAATATGCCTTTGAGGTAGATACCATTCTAGGTACTGAAGTTGCAAAAATGAAGTGACAGTTTGTCTCCTCAAGTCACCCGTTATACAATGTACATTTATTATAGAAGAACTGCATTACAAATGCACCTAAGAAGAGGAGAGTTTGGGGCCGGCCTGTGGCTCACTCGGGAGAGTGCGGTGCTGATAACACCAAGGCCACGGGTTCGGATCCCATATAGGGATGGCCGGTTGCTCACTGGGTGAGCGTGGTGCTGACAAACTAACAAATGTTAGCAACGGTAATTTGTGGGTGGGTGGTAGGGTTAAGATCGCCTTACCGGTCATCTTTAAAAAAAAAAAAAAAAAGATAACATCTCTTCCAGCTTGATGATTCTAGAAGGATGAATTTGCCAGAATGCACAGGACAGCATTTAATCTATCCCAGGCCTCCAATGGGTGAGTAATTCTTTAGTTCCTCCAGCACTCCTCAGTATTATCTGCATATGGGCCACTGAGTTACTTACTGATCACATCGTTATCAAGACAGGAGTCATGAAGAGACAGAGCTCAGATGCTTACATAACTCAACAAGAGGAATAAAGGATTACTGAGAAGAGAAAATACCGTATGCATCAACACCATTGTATCATACATTGCATTATCAAGGGCTGTTCAAATGTATGATGGTGTTTTACAGAGCTTCTGAATTTCCAGAGTTCTGTTGTTCCTTTGCTCAGGCTAATGAGGAAGAGACTGGACTACAAAAAATCAGTTCCTAGTATAATTCACACTGAGATTTTGGGAGCACATTCAATTTCAATAGCGACTGCATAAAGTACAACAGCCTAGTAGAAATCGATATATATGAAATTAGTACAGCAAGAACCCTCAGTGTCAGTAAAAAACTGGTCGTCACAGTATCCATACTTTTTCTCCAAAAGCGCAGATTGAAAGAAGTCTCACAATCTCAGACCCCTGATTGTTTAGAAGTCTCGAGTCACCAGGTCACGTCTTCCAAAGCCTTAGTACATGGTCTTGCTTTCTGGGTTTATCTTTTTGTGGCAAGAACTTGTTTGTGATTTCCCACAGTTGTCAGTGTTAAAACCACTGACAACTGTCCTTGCCCAGAAACGTCACAGGACCGGATTATGTTTTCTACGGGATCCATCCAGAGTTCCCGAATTTGCTTCTGGGGCTTTATCTACTATTCAGGCAGCCTCTTCATAGGGAAGGATGCTTCGAGGAAAAATAAAGGAAAGGAGTTCACGGACGGGGGTGGGGGTCTGTGTGGAGAAAACAGGGGTGTCCGCGCTCTACGGGTGATCTTTGAGGGGAAAGACACAGAGCCAGAGCCCCGCTCCAGGAAGCTACAGCTAGAACAGGTCCTCCACCTCTCGGTCCTCCGAAGCTCCAGCGCTGGAGGCTGCCCAGGACCTCCCAATCTCAGACACCCCAGCTCCAGACCTCAGCGACAGCCGCCCTCGATCCTGAGGCCAGAGGAGGTCCCGGCCGCCTTCCCACCCCAAATCCTAACTCACAGCCGGTCTCCTTCTTGATCTCCTCGAGCTCTTCGTCGCGCAGTAACGTGGAGGCCCGAGACCCCATCACTGTGCTGGGAGATCCTCCGGGAACAGCGGCGCCTGAAGCGACGGCGGCGGGAGGAAAGGAAGGAGCGGAGGAAGGAACAGGGGTCAAGAAGGGAGAGGGCAGTGTTTCTACTGCGGACCCGGGAGGGAACCCAGGGGTGGTGCGGCGGGAGGGGGAGGCCCCGGGGATCAGCCAATCAGGAGCGAGGCTACGGCCTGCGCAGGAGCAGACTTGAGCGCTCCCAGTTCCAACCCAGAATGAATCAGCCCAGCGCCTGCCGGACTCCCGGGGAGACGGGCCCCGCCCCCGGAACCGCCGCTGCCACCGGCCTTAAAGGGGCGATGCTACTCTGGCACTAGGGACTGCAATTAAAAGGGCAACTCCATCGACCCAATGTTTTACAGCAAACTAACCTGAGGCAGGCAGCGTAGCTAACTCGTTTCACACAGGACTCTAGGAATACCACCGTACCGGTAGCACGGACTGAAAGGAGAGCAATAAAGACAGACAAAACCTCGCGTGGGGGATCCCAGGGTGTGTCCCCTGGGAACTGCATGCCGGGAATCGCACCTCTTCACCTTTCCTGGGCGGTCCTCTCTCCTCCCGACCGCGGGGGGCGCTGGAGAGCCGCCCTCGGGGCCGCGCGCTGATTGGCTCCTCGGGAAGCAGCCGAGACTCGACTTTCTGCCCGGCACGCGTCCGCGCTGCGGTTTGTGTTGGGTGCTGCGTACTTCTCTTCAGTTTGCTTTCGGTACGGTGCTTTGATAACCACCTCCGCTGGCTTGGAGAGCTCCAGGATTTCTTAACAGAAGTCTCTGTATTTCAGTTCCAGACTGAAGCTCGAGGAAGTCACCATTTGGCCGAAATTAGGATCCGGCTTTCCCAAACCTTTGGGGGGAAAAAACCCAAAAACCCTAACGGTGGAGGAGAGTGAATTCCTAGCGTATGGCAAGCCGTTTATTTGAAGTTTCTTATTTTGTCTTAAAAATGAGGAATTTTGCATTTTATTCTTATGGCATATTCTTGCTTTTTTTGTTGTCGTTGAAAAACGTTAAAGCTACCTGTTAAATGAGTGGACTGTCGGGGGAACCAGTTCTTTTCGTGTGGCTTCAGCTGCCTTAGCTGTTCACCCTTCTTTGTTCAGAACCGGTTCGAGACATGCATGGGAGGAAGAACCAAATTCTGACCACTATCACTTAGTACCGAAGGACTAGGACGCTCTTTTAGCGAGCTTTCCCAAATCAACTTAGGTTACTAGTTTTAAACTTTTCCTAGGGCTTAGCCTGACACCCCATGGGTTCTCTGCCGGCTGAGGTTCTGTAGTCTCACCGAGTTTTTTTCATGATTGACCTTTTGTCTGACCTAGTGATGTTATTATACCTGTTTAAGAAGAGAGGGGGGCTGCTTTATATTTTGCGAATACGGGTGTGGTAGGAGAACCTTGATGTCAGCGACATGACTGTCCCTTTTCTCAGTCTGCCTTGACGCCCATCTCTTGATCCCGACCTTATTTTGTCCTTTTTTTTTTTTTTTTTTTTTGACCGGCCGCACCACCGGCCATCCCTATATAGGACCCGAACCCACTGGCGGGAGCACTGCTGCGCTCTCAGGGCTGCATTCTCCCGAGTGCGCCACAGGGTCGGCCCTGAGTACTATAATTTTTACTGGAGAACATAGACACAGCGCCGCACTCTCCCCAGTGCGCCACAGGCTCGGCCCACCGACCTTATTTTTTCCTTCCCAATCTTGAATCTTACCATTTGAAGCTTTCCAGTCTCTGATCAAAGGTTTCTTTGCTTCGTGTTAATATTTTTTTTCTGATTTACTTTAACGTTTCTTTCTTTTTTTTCTCTCTCTGTCTCTCTTAACGTTTTTTTTAAATTTCCCGATTTTCCAAACAATTCACAAACTTTTCTCTCTTGGAGAAAATTAAAATGTAAGTTAATTTTTGGCTCCATTAAGGACTGTTTTTTCCCCAGTTTTATGTCCTCTTGTTTCTGTAAAAATTCCCCTCTAGGGCGGCCCGGTGGCGCACTGCTACAGTGAGCCGCTTGGGAAGCGCAGCGGGGCTTCCGGGGAGGGTTTGGATCCAACATACAGACCGGCTGCTCACTGGCTGAGCGAGGTGCGGGGGCAACGCCAAGGGTTGCGATACCGTTGCCGGTCACGAAAAAAGACAAAAAAGGGGGAAAAAAAATTCCCCTCTAGCCTGTTGGATTAACTTGAACAAAGAATGGTTTTCTCCGGCCGTCCCGTGGCTCACTCAGTAGAGTGCGGTGCTGATAACACCAAGGCCACGGGTTCGGATCCTATATAGGGATGGCCGGTTTGCTCACTGGCTGAGCGTGGTGCTGACAACACCAAGCCAAGGGTTGAGATCCCCTTACCGGTCATCTTTTAAAAAAAAAAAAAAAAAAGAATGGTTTTCTCAGGCTCTCTAGTGATTTATGTTCTCTTTGGATGCATCATGCTTGATCTTGCATTAGACCACAAACATCCTCCACTATGGGCCTGGTTTTAGTTCAGGTTCTATTACCTTCTAGCTATGTGACTTTGGGCATGTGTCTTAGATCTCTAAGCCTCAGTTTCCTCCTCCGTTGATTGGCTTATGGTCGTTGTATCAAATATTTGTGAAAGCACTTGATAGACCTTAAAATATAAAAATATAGTGTATTTATCCAGCTAAAAATGCTATGTAACTTCTCACCTTCTTCCTAGTTGAATTAGGCTCTAGTTATTTCATCAATGTTTTATAGACTAAATTACAAAATTCACTGGTTGAATTTTCAAAGTGTGGCAAAGGCAAGCAGCTTTTAAATTTAAACCACCAGGGCCGGCCCGTGGCTCACTTGGGATAGCATGGTGCTGACAACACCAAGTCAAGGGTTAAGATCCCATTACCGGTCATCTTTAGATAGATAGATAGATAGATAGATAGATAGATAGATAGATAGATAGATGGATGATAGATAGATGATTGATAGATAGATAGATGATTGATAGATAAATTTAAACCACCATAGAGGAACACTTATCTAGAGACCCAAATACAAGATCACCCAATAACAGAATTGTTCTAAAAGATATTTTTTAAAAAAGGATTCATCTTTTAAGTTACATATTACACTAAAGAATGTAACAATATCTACTATTAATGATAGTTATTTCTACAGGGTAGAATTTTTTTTGTATGTTTATGCATGGATGTGATTCTTTATAATGAGCTGCATCATTTTTACAAAATGAGTGTGTGGCATGTGGTAGTTTGCTCTGTCAGGCTGCACATGACTGGTTGGTGACACTACAGTAGCCCAGCCTTGAGCTGTGGCCAAGGTGGCATGGAATGGCCTTTGCAGTGACATCATGGCAGGTGGATTGTTAATGCATGAATTGTGATAGTCCTTCGTCAGTTATGCTTTGATTGGTAACCATGTCAATGTTATTAATCCAGAAGAGGCTACATTCCAGACATTTCTGGGTAAACAATTTATTGCAGCATGTGTTGGCAAGTATTTTTGCCTATGTCTATTTTTTTAATCTGTTCTTTTTGTTTTTCTTTGTTGTTGTTGTTGTTAAAACAATATATGTGTACCATTAGAAAGCCTCTAAATATTTCACTTGTTCTGTTTAGCTAAGGAATGAAAGGTGATATTTATTCTCATTTTATAGACAAAGAATCCAAGCATATCTTGCCTGAAGTCTTATGGTTTTCAGTTTCCCTTGTGTGAATTAGGATTGGTGCTTGCAATAATCTTTTTCATCTTTATTCTAAAAAGATGAACAAAATTGAATTACTCATATTTTTCTTCTTTTCCTTTACAGGTATGGGGAAAGAGAAAATAACCCCCCAAAATCTTTTAAAATTATAGATCTCTTTATTAATTTTCAAGTGTTTGGATGCTTAAAGAAGATTATTTGAAGACGACTTTTAGAATCAAATAGCATGGATCCCAGCAGTGACTATCATTTCCTCAATCACATTTTGTGGAGAAGGGTGAAACTCACATTGGTTTGTGGCATCTTCGAAGGTGTGCTTCAGCATGTGGACTCTAACAAGATTGTTGTCCTAAAGAAAGGTCTCGTTCTATTTCTCATAATCTTCTGCCTAGTGGCTGAGTTTGGGTGATGGCTTTGGACTCCATTAGCAACTGAGAGGGTGACATTCCCATTTTAGGAAAGGAGTGAGAGGAAGGTTAAAGTACTATTTTCCCGTAACAGAACAATGTGGCTGCATGTGCTGGTTTGCCCCCACTTCTATACTTATCTTGACATGATAGCAGAAATTTTCAATATATAGAGTGTTTTTTAAATTGGGTACTTTTTTAGTTTCTCTCCATAAGCATCTTGAAATTAAAAATAACCACTCAGTTAGAATTGCTTTTGGCTGCAACAGACAAATTCACAAAGACAGTAAGGGGTTATTTTTTTTCCTGCAAAAAGAAATCCAAATGTAGGCTGCTGGAGAATGGTACAGTTACTAAAGGACACTTTCAGGGACCTGGTGCCTTGTGCTCCTGCTCTGCCACCTCAGCGATCATCTGTCATCTCCATGGTCACAAGATAGCCTCTACACTTGCCAGCTTCAATTCCAGCTTATGATAAAAGATACAATTCAGGCACAGCCAAATTGAAGAGATGCATAGGGCAAAGTATAGGGGAGGGGATGCAGAATTTCCATGCCTTCTCCTGGCACAGGTGCTGCCACCCTCCCAGCACTTCCATGTGTTCGCCAACCCAGAAGCTCCAATATAGAGGTTTTTTGTTTTTGTTTTTGTTTTTAAAAGATGGCCAGTAAGGGGATCTTAACCCTTGACTTGGTGTTGTCAGCACCACACTCTCCTAAGTGAGTGAACCGGCCATCCCTATATAGGGATCCAAACCCATGGCCTTGGCGTTATCAGCACCACACTCTCCCAAGTGAGCCATGGGCTGGCCCCTATAGCTTTTATTTAGCTAGAATATTGAGTTGCTAGGGTAGTTGTTTTCCTAGCATGATAAGTTTCAAGTTCACAATTGAAACATGTGTAAATGGCATTTGAGAGATTAGTGTTATTGTTAAGCCATATTTTGAGTTAAAATAGGCATTTGTGGGCTAGGATGGAGCTGTAGCAGGCTTTTGCAATGTTAATTCATTCAATAATCATTTATTGATTGTTTCATATCCCAGGCACAGCACTTGGTACTAGGGCTACAGGTAGGAATAACATGGTCCTATCCTCAAAAACTTAGTGTGTTAAGGAAACATATAAACAGGTAGACAAGTATAATGGAGTGTGATATCCTCTCTGACAGAAGGACACACAAGATACTATGGAAACATGAAGGTTTAGCTAATTTACATGGGGGTTAGGAAAGTGGGGAAGGCTCCTTTAGGAGGAAGTGATGGCAGAACTGCATCTGGATGAGTAGGAGTTAACAATAGGAAAAGAAGAGAAGGCTGTTTTAAGTCAGAGGTTCTCAGACTTCATCTGGAAAACTTAAAACACAAATTGCCAGACCCCACTCTAAGAGTTTTGATCCTTAAGGTCTGGGATGGGGCCCAAGAATTTGCATTTCTAGCAAGTTTCCAGGTGATGCTGTGCTTTGGAGCCACACTTAGAGAGGACCATTGTTCTAAGTAAAAGTAGCAGTATGTACAAATGCGTAGAGAGATGAAAACTTCCTGCATTCAGAAAACCTAAGTAAATTTCAGTGTGAGGATATGAGAGATAAGGATGGAGAGGTGTGGGACAAATCGGAAGGACCTTACAGACCAGCATTTGGACACTATCCTGAAAGCAGTGAGGAACAATCTGAATGATTTTTAAGTGGGAGACATATGAATTTTCAGGTTAGTTGCCTAAAAATTTTAATGCGGTGTCAGGAACCACGCTCAGCTGCTAGAAACAGATTCCCTCCAGTGATTTAAGCACATTATGAGTTTATTCTCTCATATTAGAGAAGGCAGGCAGCGCAGGGCTTATGTGACTCTCCCAAAAGTCAGCAGGGATCCAGGATTCTTCATCTTTCTGTTCCACCATCCTTAGCACAGGGCTTCAAGGTCAACCTCAGGGTTATATGATAGCTGGTGGAGTTACAGACAGGACAAGGAAAAACAAAGGAGAAAAGAAGTATTCCTTCCAGCTGAGTCAGTCCTCTTGAAGCGGTGCCTTGAAGTCCAATAGGCCACCTCTATCTACAGGGGAGACTGGGCATGTTGCCAACCTGAATAAATGGCATTAAGTAGAACAGTAAATGCCACAAGCTTGTTCCACAAGCATTCAGTCCAGGTGAAATACTTTGGTGTATTTGTCTCTAATTTTTAATAACTGTACTCAGATTATATAAGTTGACATAATAAATTAGGTATATCATATATACTTATTTTTAGTTAACACTACAACAAGCATTTTCTCGTTATTTAAAACTTCAGTTTAATGACTAGACATTTTAAAGCCAAAAGCTTAAAAATTTTTGTTATACTTGGAGGTATAACTGTTTTCTCAGGGATAGCTCCTAGAAGTGGAGTTACTAAGTAAACATTATACATATTTTGAATGTTTTTGATGCCTTTTTCCAAATAACTTTTCAAAAGAGTTGTGCCTTTTTACTTTGCTATTAGTAATGTGTGAGTTAATTACAGTAAATAATCCAGCATTGGATTTTTTTAAAAACTCTGTTGTGTATCTTTCCTTAATTTTTTGCTAGTTTTATAGGCAAAAAGTGATATTTCATTTTGGCATTTAAAAAAAATTCTTAAAGAGGTTGAACATATTTCTTTACACTTGCTTACTAATCCTATGTACTATTTGGACATAGCAGAGAATGATATTACTATGACAGTGGTATGAAGGAAGGACTGAAGTAGGGAGAAACTACAGAGGCAGGAGGAAAGATGGAATACTTAGACAATCAAGGGACACAAGGGTAAGTGATGGGGCCTGAGCTAAGGCATGGCAAGTAATAGAGAAGAGAAGGTAGATTCTAGAAATACTTAGGGAGATGGGATAAATAACCTACTAATAAATTAGATAATAAGCAAAAAACAATGTAAAATTACTCTTACATTTATGACTCAAAATATTAGGTGTATAATACTGTTACTAACTGATAGAAATGGCAAGAGGAGCAGGTTTTTTGGTTGGTGGAAAAAGATTATTTCAGTTTGAAAAATTTAAAGTAATTGTGATATAGTCAGCTGAAAATGTGAGTAGAACACGGAGGAATAGTCCATGCTGGAGAAATAATGGGTGTCAGGACAACTAGGAAGTAAATATGGTCATTCAAGGAGAAGGAAAAAGGGGATGGCTGGTAGCTCAATTGGTTAGACCACAACCTTGTAACACTGAGGTCAAGGTTTCAGTTCCCCAGACCAGCCAGCAGCCAACAAAAAAAAAAAACAGGAGAAGGAAAAAGGATGCGGATGCAGGACCTAACCCTGGGGGCCAACAATGTGTAAGAGGCAAGGAGAGGTGGAGATAATAAAATGCCTGCCTCATTATGTTATTGGAGAACTGAATGTAGGCAAGTCGCATGGTGCCTGGCTTGGCATGGGTGTTCAGTACGTAGCTCTAGGTAATTAGTTGGAAAAGAACTAAACTCAAAGAATGTCCTGTAAACCAAAGAAGAAAGGAGAGAATGGTATTGTCAAAGACTGCATGAGAGCCAAGTAAGATGAGACTGCAGAACCTTTTTTTTGGATTTGATAAATAGACATTGGGTAATCTTTGACTTCAATGAGAATATATTCAGTGGAATAGTGAGGATGGGACTCAGTTAACTGGATTGCTGAGAGGTGTGGAAATAGCTTCTATGAGTACTTCCATCTAGAAAAATGACAGCATATTGTAGACATGACATGTAAATTTCTCCTAACTCCCTTACCTACTCACAGAAGAGCCATAAGTTGGATTATTGTCCTTTCTGATATTTTTGAGCATGACATGAAGCAGGGTGTGGACTCTAGAAGTAGTCAGCTGCCTTAAATTTTTTTTCTGGAGTTAGGTGGAGTAAAAATAAATAGAAATATAATGAACAGATAGTCCTTAGCCCCATTGGCCTTAAAATATGCTTGGGAGAATTTTAAATTCAGTGGACTATTGCTGCCCTTTTTAGCTTCTCTTGGACCATTCTGGGGTTTATGCTGTTCTTTAAACTACTTGTTTCAGGGCTGTAGCTTTGTGATTTATTATTGACTCTTTATTCCTTAGGGAAAATAATTTGGGGATTTTTATAAAACTCAGATGTGAGCACTTTAGATAGGCATCGTGTTTTCTTATGGTCTTAGTAAAATATTAAAATATTATTTTTTATTAATCAAATGAATTGTTTTCTATAACAGTGAAGAATGTGGAGACGGGTCGAAGTGTCCCAGGAGTGAAGATGTTTTTTGGGCATGAGATTGTGAATGGTGAGTTTCTTGTTCCCTAAAGGCTGGTGTTGGTATTTACATTCGTGGTAGACTCACTGCTGTGCCTCATTCCACTATTTTAAAAAAATGAGGTGTTGTCTTGCCTTTGTAAACTTTTAAAGTTGATATTTGAGAATTGACCCTTCTCTTACTGTTTTGATGGGTACTCTATGAGCAGAATAGTCTTACAGAATTGTAATAATTTTGGTTTTACAATGTGAAGTCTGCTGGTGCTCATCACTAGAGATTCGGCCAGCAGACAGAGTCAGACCTGAACAGAAAGGGATTGTCTTGCTCAGCAAGCTAAACACTACAGGTCCACAATCTATTCCCAATCTCTTATCTGAAACCTTGGGGCCAAATGTCTCAAAATCTAGAATTGTTTTGGATTTTTGGAAAATGTAACACAGGATATATTCTGTTCATATTACATAATGCTTCAAGACGATCTGGGCAGCATTCTGTAAAACAGCACATTTCTCCAGAGAAATCAGAGAAATGGGCGGATAATCAGTCTAAATGTAGTAAAGTAGGACTATAAATAACATTTCAGGTTAGGTTTTACCGCCAAAAGAGTTACAACAAAATTTTAGTTTCCAGAGCTTTTAGGATTTTGGAATTGCAGGAAGCAACCTCTTCTTTATTTCTGCTAGCAAAAGACATTTAGCAAGAGTAGGTCCAATTATTTGCCTGAAAGAGTAGCTATAGAATATCATCTGGTCAGTGTGCTTCAGATAAGTCACATAGGATAAGAGAAAGGGATTGGGAGCTAGACATGTTCTTGCTTTCAAGGACTCAGAAACTTTTCTGCTCCCAGGAGGGGTAAAGATCAGTCTGGGGTGGAGGGATCAGAGGAATGGCAGCTCTGGGACCTCTTAGGGCTGTGTATTTCTCACAGCAGGGGCAAATCTGAGGAGAGGACTCCTGTAAACAAGAGTTTGCTACTGCTTGAAAGATTGCTTTGCTTTGTGAGAAAAGTAGAATTTAAGAAGAGATGAAAATGTCACCAAATTAATGATTGCCAATCCAGAGCTACTTCAAGCTAGACAAGTCTGGACAGCTATCTAACAGTCTTTTCTCACAGAGTATGCTACTATAAATGATGTTTGTCCCTTGAACACTTTTTTATAATGGTGATGGTGGTGGTGGTAACAGTAGAATTCTTAATTGTGTTTTAGCTATTATGCAGTAGAGCAGAGCTCTGAACCAAAACAAAGCTAGGCCGTAGATGGGTATGTAGAGAGAAGTGAAGGAATAACTACTAACATCTCCCTAATGCACAAGGCGGCTGACCTCTGACCAGCTTGTGATCTGTACACATGGAATTCATCTCCTCATTCTTTCCCAGGACTTGGCCTTTGTTCATAATTTTTAAGCTCAAAGGATGGTCCTCTCCTTCTTTGCCCTGTGGCCCAATCAGCCATGGAGGGGTCTCCCTGAAAAGGACCTTGAATAAGAATTATCAAGATGAAGGATAATAATGGTTAATCAACATATTTAGTGAATTTCACTTTTCTCTGCCCCATACTCAACACTTCTAGATAGTGCAGGGAAAAGAGACATTTGAAACGTAGTGGCCCTCTGAGAGGCTTTTTCCTGAAAACTACCTAAATGTACTTCATTGAATTAGATGCCATTAATTTATAAGACACACTATTACTTTGTGCACCCTAAGAAAGAAAAACAAGCTGCCAATTAAACTGGCTGCACCTTTATTGTAAATCTCATCCAATTTCAGAGCTGTTTAAAATGTGCATCTTAAAATTAATGAAATACAATATTTACCTACGTTTCCTATACAATTAAGTTAAAAATAAGTGATTTCAGAATCTCCATGGAATGTTTCTCTTGTAATTCTTTGGGGATTTCCACTCTAGCTTTCATTACCTTTCATGTCACTGAACTATTAATGTGCCAGCCTGTGACAGTGGCAAAGACAAATCTATGAATGATTTAAGAGAAAATCCTCAAACATAAATAGTGTGAGGGAAGGTACAGTAGGATTGGGATGAGTGGGAAAGAAATCTGTAGAACCAGTGCGAATGACCATAAAGGCACCCTGAACAAAAAGGGTAAAGAGATCATATACAGAGGTTCCTAATCCTGCTAAATAACCAAGAAGCTTCTTGCTAAATAACCAAGAAGCTATGTAGGAACATAATAGTGGGAATCTTCAGTACTTTTGGTAGGGTTTTCTGCTCTATTTATTGCTGGCCAGTAAAGGCCTCTATGGGCTAACATTTCATTTCCAATTACTATTTGCATTACAAAGTCAGACTGGGTGTTTGGGGTTGGGGTGTGGTTAATTGCTTGCAGATTGGAGATTCTATTGGAAGCCTTTTGGTTATTTTACAGTGGAACTACTAGATGAAGTGGAACAAGGTGCAGTGAGAGAAAAGGCATCTTCTGTTAGGTATGATGGAATAATTTTTTAAATTATGATGTTTCCCAAATGTGCACATCAGGGTAGAATGCCTCAACTCTAATTCACTAGTTGCTTGATTCCTAACATAGCCTAAGGAAATAGAAATGAGAAGAAATATGTGTGGATGTTTTCTTCCATCTTTAGATAGCATCCTCAAGTCAATGTAAGCAGTGGATGAATGGGTCCTCTATTTAATGAAGTTCCACAGTTCTTAACATTACTGTGTGGCAAAATCTGTGTATGGTATCAGCAACAAAGAACAAGTTCACCTGAGTGTTGTTTTTTGTAAGGATAGTCTAAATATGGAAAGAACCAGGATGGATAAAATGAATGACAAAAGTGTAAATGAATGTGAGCCTGCTTCTCCTGCCCCGAAGACACCAACAACCTCTATGCTGAATGACTTCAAGTATAGCCCATCAGGTGAGTACTAGCGCTCTGAATTTTCTAGGCTATCTTTATCGTGGTTCAGAACTCTTTAGATTTGACTTAACTCAATCAATATTCTATATGGAATACTCAGCTGGGCCATTGCTTCTAGGCTCTGAATTAAAATATCATGATTTATTTGTTTATTGAATATTTGAGTGAGAAATTTCAGTGAGAGAAGTGATTGGAGGTTTTTTTGTTTTTTCATTAAAAACATAAAACAAAACTTTAGCCATTCTAATAAATATGTAATATTATCTCCTTGTAGTTTTAATTTGCATTTCCCTAATGACTAAAGATGTTGAGGATCTTTTCACATGTTTGTTTACCATCTAAATATCTTTTATGAAATTGGCATATCTTTTCCAATTTCCTTATTGGATTGTCGTTTAGTTTTGGGATTTCTTTATTCTTGATACAAGTCTTTTATCACATACGTTCTTTGGAAATATTTTCTCCAAGTCTGTGGTTTGTCTTTTCATTCTCTTAAAATATCTTTCAAAGAGCAGACGTTTTTAATTTTGTTGAAGTCCAATTTATCCAGTTTTTTTTTTTCATTTATGGATTATACTTTTGGTGTTATATCTTAAGAAATCTTTGCCTAACTCAGAGTCACAAAGATTTTCTTTTCTTTTCTCTTTTTTTAATTAACATCTTCTGTTTTCTTCTAGATGTTTCATAGTTTTAGGTTTTTATTATTTAATAAATAATATTTATTAGGTTTTATTTCATTTTTTTTTTTTTTTTTTTGTCTTTTGTCTTTTTTCCGTGTCCGGCAACGGATCGCAACCCTCAGTGTTGCACCCGTACCGGACCAGGGACCGGCAATGGGATTGCAACCCTCGGTGTTGCTCCCACGCCTCACTCAGCCAGTGAGCGGGAACCGGTCTGTATGTGGGATCCGAACCCTCGGGCGGGAGCGCCGCCACGCTTCCCAAGCGGCGCACTATCCAGTGCGCCACCGGGCCGGCCCTAGGTTTTATTTCATTTTGAGTTAATTTTTATCTATGATATGTGAGGTATGGATCAAGGGTCTTTTTTTTTTTTTTTTGGAAGCTTGCCGGTACAGGGATTGAACCCTGGACTTTGTTGTTATCAGCACCATGCTCAAATCAACTGAGCTAATTGGCCAGCCTTTTCTTTTCTTTCTTTCTTTCTTTTAATATGTATATCCAATTGTTCTACCACCATTTGTTGAAAATACTGTACTTTCTCTACTCAATTGCCTTTGCACCTTTATCAAAAATCAGTTATCTGGGGCCGAGCCCGCGGCACACTTGGGAGAGTGCGGCGCTGGGAGTGCAGCAGCGCTCCCGCCATGGGTTCGGATCCTATATAGGGATGACTGGTGCGCTCACAACGCTCACTGGCTGAGCATGGTGTGGCCAGTCTCCAAAAAGGACCAAAAAAAAAAAAAAAATCAGTTATCTGTATGTTCGTAGGTTTATTTTTGGACTATTTGTTTCATTGATCTATTTTTCTCTTTACACCAATATAGGCTGTTTTGATTACTGTCAATTTATGATAAATCTTGAAATCAGATAGTGTTAGTCCTCCAACTTTGTTCTCTTTCAGACTTATTTTGAGGGTTTTTTTTGTTTTTTTAATGTTTTTATTTTATTGAAATATAATTGATTTACATATTTGTGGGGTACAGAGTCAAATATCAATACCTGTATACAATGTGTGATGATCAAGTCAGGATAATTAGCATATTCATCATTAGGGAACGTAATCATTTCTTTGTGTTGATATTGAATCTCATCTCTTCTAGTCATTTGATAACATGCAGTAAATTAATGTTAATTATAGGTGCCCAGCTCCACTGCACATCAATAAAATGTATTTTTCCTAACTAGTTGTTTTGTGTCTATTATCCCATTTCTTGCTATTCCCTCTCTCCCTCCCCCTTTCTTGCCGCTAGTACCCACAGTTCTGTTCTCTCCTGAAAGTTCAACATATTATTATGATTGTTCTTTTTTTTCCTTCCTTCCTTCCTTCCTTCCCTGGAATATTGATAGGGATTGCATTGAATATACAGATAAGTTTAGAGAATATTGGCATTTTAATAATATTGAGTACTCGTTCTAATCTATGAAACTGGTATATCTCTTCATTTGTTTAAATTTTCTTTCATTTCTCAATAGTGTTTTGTAGTTCTCAGTGTATATATTCACATCTTTTGTCATATTAATACCTAAGTATTTTATATTTTTATACTATTATAAATAATACTTTTTTACTTCAATTTCCTGTTGGAGGGGTCTTTTTCCTTAATATTTTTTAAATGGCTGGCTGGTGCAGGGATCCAAACCCTTGATCTTGGTGTTATCAACACCATGCTTTAACCAACTAAGCTAACCAGCCAGTCGGATTGGATGGTTTCGACCAGAGGAGTTACATGATCTGACTTTTTTTTTCAACAAGAGCACTCTGGATGCTGTATAGATAATGAGAGGAGAGCAGGATAAAAACAGGGATAACAGTTAGAAGACTATTGAAATAATTTAAGACTAGTGGGTAAGACAAGTGGATACAGTGGCTTGGACCCTGATGGTGGCAGTAGGGTTGGTAAGAAGTAGTGGAATTCTGAATATATGTTGAAGGTGGAGCCCACGGAATATCCTGACAGATTAGATGTGAGTGTGAGAGTAGAGAGGAATCAAGGATGACTTCAGTTACTGTAGCTTTGTAATAGTTTGAAGTTAGGTAATGTAATGCCTCTGGTTTTACTTATTTATTTTTTTGCTCAGGATTGTTTTGGCTATTTGGGGTCTTTTGTTGTTCTGTATGAATTTTAGGATTGTTTTTTCTATTTCTTCTTTTGTGTTTTTGTTTGTTTGGTATTTTTTTTTTTTTGGTAGCTGGCCAGTATGGGGATCAGAACCTGTGATCTTGGGCCGAGCCCGTGGTGCACTCAGGAGAGTGTGGCGCTGGGAGCGCAGCAGCGCTCCCACTGGGGGTTCGGATCCTATATAGGAATGACCGGTGCGCTCACAGCGCTCACTGGCTGAGCGCGGTGCGGCCGATGTCAAAAAGGACAAAAAAAAAAAAAAAAAGAACCTGTGATCTTGGTGTTATAAGGCTGTGCTGTAACCAACTGAGCTACCAGGCCAGCCCTGTTTTTTGTATTTCTGTGAAGATTGTCATTGGTATTTTGATGGGGATTGCATTGAATCTGTAGATCACTTTGAGTAGTATGGACATTTTCACAACTTTAATTCTTCTAGTCCATGAACAAGGAATATCTTTCCATCTTTTGGTGTCCTCTTTAATCTCTTTCAGCAGGATATTGTAGTTCTCCTTGTAGAGATCTTCCACCTCTTTGGTTAAATTTTTTCCTAGGTATTTTTTTCTTTTGGTAGCTATTGTAAATGGCCTTGCTTTCTTTTTCAGCTTGTTTGTTGTTGGTGTATAAGAAAGCTACTAATTTTTGTGTATTGATTTTGAATCCTGCAACTTTACTGAATTTATCAGCTCTAGGAGTTTTTTGGTAGAGGTTATGGATTTTTCTATATGTAGAATCAGTCATCTGCAAACAGTGACAATTTGACTTCATCTTTTCTAGTTTGGATGCCCTTTATTTCTTTCTCTTGCCTGATTGCTCTGGCTAATACTACCAATACTGTGTTGAGTAGGAGTGGGAGGAGTGGGCATCCTTGTCTTGTTCCTGTTCTTAAAGGAAAAGCTTTCAGCTGTTCCCCATTCAGGATGATGTTGGCAGTGGGTTTGTCATATATAGCTTTTATTGCGTTATTTTCCTTCTATACTTAATTTGTTGAAGGTCTTTATCATGAAAGGATGCAGAATTTTGTCAAATTCAATGGAACAGAATAGAGAACCCAGAAATCAACCCAGGTACTTACAGTCAACCGATCTTTGACACAGGCGCCAAGAACATATATCGGGGAAAAGATAGCCTCTTCAGTAAATGGTGCTGAGAAAACTAGATATCTCTGTGTAGAAGAATGAAACCAGACCTATACGTCTTGCCGTATACCAAAATCAACTCAAAATGGATTAAAGACTTAAGTATAACACCTAAAATTATAAAACTCCTAGGAGAAAACATAGGGGAAACACTTCAGGATGTAGGACTGGGCAAAGACTTTATGAATAAGACCCCAAAAGCACAAGCAACAAAAGAAAAAATGAACAAATGGGATTATATCAAACTAAAAAGCTTCTGCACAGCAAAGGCAACAATCAACAGAATGAAAAGTCAACCTACTGAATGAGAGAAAATATTTGTAAACCATATATTTGACAAGGATTAATATCCAGAATGTACAAGGAACTCAAATAACTTCACAGTAAAAAAAATAATAATTCAATTTTAAAATGAGCAAAGGAGCCGAATAGATATTTTTTGAAGGAAGACATAGAAATGGCCAACAGGTGCATGAAAAAATGTTCAACATCACTAATCATCAGGGAAATGCAAATCAAAACCACATTGAGATATCCTCTCACTCCAGCTAGATGGGCCATTATCATAAAGACTGAGAATAACAAATGCTGGTGAGGATGTGGAGAAAAGGGAACTCTTCCACAGTATTGGTGGGACTGCAAATTAGCACAGCCATTATGGAAAACAGTATGGCGGTTTCTCAGACAACTACAGATAGAACTACCATATGATTCAGCAATTCCACTACTGGGTATATACCCAAAGGAATGGAAATCAACATGTTGAGGGGATACCTGTACTCCCATGTTCATCACAGTTCTATTTACAATAGCCAAGATATGGAATCAACCTAAATGTCCATCAACAGACAACTGGATAAGGAAAATGTGTTATATATACATGATGGAATACTACCGAGCCATAAAAAAGAATGAAATTCTGCCATTCGCAGCAACATGGATGAGCTTGGAGTAAATTATGTTAAGTGAAACAAGCCGGGCACAGAGAAAAAAATACCACATGTCCTCATCAATAAGTGGAAGCTAAGAAACAAAGAAAGAAAGACTATAATAAAACATTGAACTTTCAGAAAAAGAGAACAGATCTATAGTTTACTAGAGGTGGGAAAGGGGGGAGAAGAAGAGGGGATACGGAGTAATTAGGTAAAGGACACAAAAAGTAATTATGATTTGTAATGATGAACATGTTAATAATATTGATTTGATCATCATGTACTGTACACAGATTCTGATAGGCAACTCTGTACTCCATAAATGTGTACTTAAAAAAAAAAGGTGACTTCAGGGGTTTTGGCCTGAGTACCTGAAAGTATTGAATTGCTGTTAAAGTGAGATGGGAAAGTCTATGAATAGAAAAGGTTTGGGGTATATGTTGGGGAGTTTAGTTTTGGTCCACTTAAGTTTGAATAAAAGCTTGGAGATGAGAAGAGAGGTTTGAGATGGAGAGATAAATTCAGGAGCCAGCCTATAGAAGATACTAAAAACCTTGAGACTATATGGGTTCACTAAGATAGTGAGCGTGAAATAGAAAAGAAAAAAGGAACATGGTCTGTGTCCTGTGGCACTTCAAAGCTTTAAGAGATTGGGAGATGAAGAGGAAGTCACGTTATGTTATGCTTTTATTTTTTATTTTTATTTTATTTATTTGTTTGTTTTGGCAGCTGGCTGGTACAGAGATTGAACCCTGGACCTTGATGTTATCAGCACCGTGCTCTAACCAATTGATCTATCCAGCCTCTAATTTTTAAAATTACATAATTTGTCAAAATATTTAAATGTCAGGACCCAGAGAATTCCAAAAGTATGAGTATTAGCCCATCTCCAGGAGTCGCTTATTTTAAACTGTTATTTTTTATTATGAACATGCTCTTTAAAAAGTGCATGTCTTTTTTTTTTTTTTTTTTTAAAAAAGATGACCGGTTAAGGGATCTTAACCCTTGACTTGGTGTTGTCAGCGCTATGCTCACCCAGTTAGCTAACCAGCCATCCCTATATGGGATCCGAACCCGTGGCCTTGGTGTTATCAGTACCACACTCTCCTAAGTGAGTCACGGGCCGGCCCTAGAAACTGCATGTCTTAAAGTACTGAAGGTATAAATCTATGAAGAAGGAAACATTACTATATTATCACAGAAAATGAATAAGCAGTTCAATTTGTAGCATTATCCTTGGTGAGGATTTTATTTGTTCTCAATTGACAAACAGGATGCTAATTAGCATTCACTGTGTGATAGGCTAGTGATAATGAAATACCATTAGACATTTGAGTTGCAATAGAGTAGGAGTTAGTTTATGAATATGGCCAAAATTAGTGGGAGAGCAATTTTATTGCCAAGGAAGAGAACTGTATCTAATGCCATCCTTTTTCTGTAGAGGAAGAGGAGGTGACATACACAGTCATTGATCAGTTCCAGCAGAAGTTTGGTGCTGCAGTAAGTATTGCCCTCAATTATTCCCAGTATTTTCTGTATATAGGTATCATCTTTTTGACTCATAAATTTCCTTTATTACAAGATCTTTGTTGTTTCCCTATTAATTTAACAAAATATTTGGGTGCTTTCTATATGCCAGGCATTGTTCTGATAGCTGGGGTAAATGATAATCAACACAAATTTTCAGCCCTCAAGGAGCTTACATCCTAATGCAAGACAATTAAAGAAAAATTATATATCAGCTGGCAGTAAGTAGTTGAAGAAAAATAAAGCATAGTATGGGGAATAGAGTAATAGGGGGTCCTGTTTTATGTGGGGAGACAGAAAACATCTCTGAAGAGGTGACATTGGAACAGAGACCTTGAAGGAAGAAAGGGAGCTAGCCATGTGGATATTTAGGTGAAGAACTTAAAGGAAGTGGAATTAATTCAAGTGTGGAGGCTCTGAGGATGAAGCACTCATAACTTTGTGGAGGAACAGCAGGAAGGTCAGCGTAACAAGACCACAGTGAAGAAGAGGGGTAAGAGACAGGAGGGGGTGGGAGGCAGATCATGTAGGGCGTGCAAGACTTTATAAGGATTTTGAGTTTGACTTGAGTGAAATGGAAAGCGATTGGCAGTTTCAGAGAAGAGTCAGAAATTGACATACATTTTAAAAGGACCACTCTGGATGCTCTATTTAGGCAATTTCTCTATAATCATATATTGATTTAAGAAGTGGCAGTGACTATCCTAGAGTATGGTTCACAGATGGGCTTCAAGAGAGTCACTGATCTTTCTGTTTAGATACAAGCTTATGCTTATGTGTATATGGGTGCATTTTTTAAAGGAGAGGTAGCTTTCAACAGATTCTTTTTTTTTTTAAACAGCTTTATTGGGATATAATTCACATGTCATATAATTGGTGTATTTAAAATGTACAGTTCACTGGCTTTTAGTATACTTACAGAATTGTACCTCCATCACCATAATGAATTTTAGCACATTTTCACTACCCCAGAAAGAAATCCTGTACCCCTTAGTCATCTCTCCAACCCCTCCTCAGCTGCTGGCAACCACCAGTCTACTTCCTATCTCTACAGATTTGCCTGTTCAGGACATTTCATATAAATGGGATTATACCATATATGGACTTTTTATGACTAGCTTTGTTTACACAGCATAACGTTTTCAAATTTCATCCATGTTGTAGCATGTATCAGTACTTAACTTCTTTTTATTGACAAATAATATTCTATTGTATGAATATACCAGGGGTCTTCAAAAACTTCATGGAGAGTCATATTATCTTTTAATTCCATTTTCCATGAATTTTTGAAGTACTCTCGTACAGTCTGTCCTCCATATTCTTGGGTTGCACATCTGTGGGGTTCCATATCTGCAAACAACTGCAGATCAAAAATATTCAGGAAAAAAAAAACAATAAAAAAATACAATTTTAAAACAATACTATATGGGCCGGCCCGTGGCTCACTCAGGAGAGTGTGGTGCTGATAACACCAAGGCCACGGGTTCAGATCCCTATGTAGGGATTGGGCCAGTTAGCTCACTTGGGAGAGCGACAACACCAAGCCAACGGTTAAGGTCCCCTTACTGGTCATCTTTTAAAAAAAACCTTAATTGGGCCGGCCCGTGGCTCACTCAGGAGAGTGTGGTGCTGATAACACCAAGGCCATGGGTTCAGATCCCTATGTAGGGATTGGGCCAGTTAGCTCACTTGGGAGAGCGACAACACCAAGCCAACGGTTAAGGTCCCCTTACTGGTCATCTTTTAAAAAATAAAGCAATACTGTATAACAGCTGTTACATAGCATTTCCATTGTATTAGGTACTGTAAGTAATGTAGAGACAATTGAAGGTATATGGGAGGATGTGTATAGGTTATATGCAAATACTGTACCATTTTATATTGAGCATCTACAGATTTTGGTATCTGCAGAAAGTCCTAGAACCTATATCCTGCAGATACTGAGGGACAACTACATTTTATTTATCCATTCACCATTTGATGGACATTTGGGTTGTTTCTACTTTTTGGTTACTGTGAATAATGTTGTTATGAAAATTCTTGTATAAAGTTTTATTTGTTTTTTTGGGGGGTTTTTGTCCTTTTTGAGACCGGCCGCACCGCGCTCAGCCAGTGAGCGCTGTGAGCACACCGGTCATCCCTATATAGGGTCCGAACCCGCGGCGGGAGCGCTGCTGCACTCCCAGCACCGCACTCTCCCGAGTGCGCCACAGGCTCGGCCCTTGTATAAAGTTTTGTGTGGACATATGTTTTAACTCTCTTGGATAGATACCTAGGAGTGAAATTGCTAGATCATATGGTAACTCTACGTTTAACTTTTTAAGGAATGGCCAGACTATTTTCTAAACTGCCTCATCAATTTACACTCTCACCAACAGTATAGTTGGTGAGAAAACAGTTCCAGTTGTTCTACATCCATGTCAACACTTCTTATTATCTGTCATTTTGATTGTAGCCATCCTAGGGGGTGTGAAGTAATATCTCATTGTGGTTTTGATTTACATTTCCCTGATGGTTAATGATGTTGAACATCTTTCCGTGAGCTTATTGGCCATTTGTATAACTTCTTTGGAGAAATGTCTATTTAGGTCCTTTGCTCATTTTTTAATTGAGTTGTAATAATTCTTTTTATCATTGAGTTGTAGGAATTCTTTATATATCAGCAGATTCTGTTTTTGTTTTTTTTTTTTTTTTTTGTCTTTTTCCGTGTCCGGCAACGGATCGCAACCCTCAGTGTCGCCCCCATACCGGACCGGGACCGGCAACGGGATTGCAACCCTCGGTGCTGCCCCCACACCTCGCTCAGCCAGTGAGCGGGAACCGGTCTGCATGTGGGATCCGAACCCTCGGTGGGAGCGCTGCCGCGCTTCCCAAGCGGCGCACTAGCGCAGTGCGCCACCGGGCCGGCCCAGCAGATTCTGTTTTGTTTTTTTGTGTGTTTGATGGTCAACCTGCCCTCAGCAGATTCTTTAAAGGACCCATAGCAACAACATTTAAAAAATGGCGTAAAAAGGCTGAGCAGTCAGCTCAGTTGTTTAGAACACAGTGTTGTAGCACCAAAGTCAACGGTTCAAATCCCCATACCGGCCAGCCAGCAAAAAATAATAATAATAATAAAAAGGGGTAAAAGGTGGTGGACTGTGAGTGGGCTGTGGCCACTGGGTCATGAGTTCGGTATTTTGGACTCGGTTGTGGCTGTGGTGATGTTTTTCGCTGGGGCCAGTCCACGGACCTGGGAAGCCATCCCATTGGAACACAGGAAGTGGGCGGGAGTATTTAAAGCATGTGATAAAGATAACAAAGTCTGTCTCAGCAGAGAGAACTTTAAAGTTGCTGTTTGGGTACAAACCCTCCAAGAAGCAGATTCTGTTCTGTGATGTCTTCAGTAAATCCAAATTCTTCTGAACAACCAATTTGCAACTTTTTTTTTTTTTAAAAGATGACCGGTAAGGGGATCTCAACCCTTGACTTGGTGTTGTCAGCACCACGCTCAACCAGTGAACTAACCGGCCATCCCTATATGGGATCCGAACCCGTGGCCTTGGTGTTACCAGCACCGCACTCTACCGAGTGAGCCACAGGCCGGCCCCCAATTTGCAACTATTTAGGAGCAACGACAGAAGACCTGAGATCTGTGCTGGAACAGGCAGGAATCATGTGCTGCAGGACTGCAGTTCAGGTTGCTCCCCACTGCACAGAGAGACTTTAGAGCTTCTGGGCCCCCATGCCCCGAGCCTGCTGGGCTGGAGAAGGCAGGTGGGGTGGGACTTCCAGCCCAGGCTGGTCCCTGCCTCCAGGAGAGACTTTAGAGCTTCGGGCCCCACACCCCAAGCCAGCCATGCTGGAGAAGGCAGTAGGGGCGGGACCTCTGGCCCAGGCTGTCCCCACCACCAGAAGAGACTTAAGCGGCTTGGGGCTCCCACACCATGAGCCAAGCATGCCAGAGAAGGCAGGCAGGGTGGGACTTCTAGCCCAGGTCAGTCCCCACCACTGGAAGAGACTTAAGAGCCTTGGGGGCTCCGACACCCGAAGCCAGCAGTCCCAGAACAGGCAGGCACAGTGGGAACCCCAGCCCAGGCTAGTTCCTGCTGACCAGAAGCAGCAGTCCCTTCAGGATCCAAACCATACATCAGGGTGAAATGAGTGGACTGTGACCAGCCACAGGACAAAACACCAAAGGCAAGATAACAGAAATATGGAAAGTCAAGAAAGTATATCTCCACCAAAGGAAAATAATAACTCTTAAGCGCTAGACCCTATAGAACAGGGAGTCTTTGAAATGACAGACAAGGAATTTAGAGTAACAATTCTTTTTTTTTTTTTTTTTTTTTTTGTCCTTTTTGAGACTGGCCGCACCGCACTCAGCCAGTGAGCGCTGTGAGCGCACCGGTCATCCCCACATAGGATCTGAACCTGCGGCGGGAGCGCCGCTGCACTCCCAGCGCCGCACTCTCCCAAGTGCACCATGGGCTCGACCCTAGAGTAACAATTCTAATGAAACTAAATGAGATACAAGAAAACTCAGTTAGACAACACAATGAAATGAGAAAATATATAATGGATCTGAAAGAAGAAATGTACAAAGAAATCAATGCCTCGAAAAAGAATGTAGCTGAGCTTGTGGAGCTGTAGGATTCATTCAACAAAATAAAAATACACAACAGAGAGTTTAACCAGCAGACTTGAACGAGCAGAAGAGAGAATTTCTGACCTTGAAGACAGCCTTAAGCATTCACATATCCAAATCCTGGGTATTCCGGAAGGTGAGGACAAAGGAAATGGCATTGAAAACATATTCATTGAAATAATAGCAGAAAACTTCCCAGGTATAGGGAAAGTCACAGATCTCCAGATTCAGAAAACCCAAAGATCCCCCAACACACTAAACCCCAAAAGATCCCCTCCAAGACATGTGGTAATCAAACTGGCAAAACTCAAATACAAAGAGAGAATCTTAAAAGCTGCAAGAGAGA